CAGAATGCCATTTCTATGTAACTACATACATACTGGAAACGTATGATGCTGATTCGATAGGCCATCCAAGCTCCTCTGTAAGTAGGATAAAGGGATCTCAAGCTTAAGCAAGTCAACCTAATAGTCCATAGGTATGGTGCTTCACAACCATTGAAGGGCTGCAGTAATTCTGCGGAGATTCGTGATACGTGCGTACAAATGTGGCACAGGACCGTTTTGTGTTCTAAGGCGTCTGATAATCTGATTCGATCGCCTAGCCAGCCAAGTGGATGGAGTAAGGGTCCATATGGTCCATATGGGATATTCATAGTATCAATCCACATCCGAAGTCTCGCCAGGTGCTGGGTAAGTGATCGGCTTTGAAGACGGGTTGTTGACGTCTTATTCTCTACGTAATTGGTTAGATCGATAACCGAGATAGTGAGTAACTTAAGTCCTTCCATTACCTCATTAGTGAGGCTGGGCCGTGAAGGGGTGTTGCCCATTTCTAGTAGCAAGCTGCATTAGGTTGTCTTGATCATCCAAGAATATTGCACCAATTCGTCTACACAGCTACATACAACAGCTACATAAGCCTTTTCGGCATCGCTGTCGTTGTAGCTCCATCCATCATTTCTGCATGTGTCAAACAGGATGATTCATGCGGCGGTGACGTATACATTATATATATACATTATACATGAAGAATTATGTTGATCAGCAGTTCTGGATTTCTTGGATGTTGGAATAGTAATTGCGATTGAAATTTCATTCCCAATTGTGATTTTCTTTGGTAAAGCAACCAAGCAACTCAGTAATATGAATTTATTATGTAGAGGTATGTAGTGTACGCTTGTTACTGTATGTCACGATCAGATATTTAGTGGATATTACTGCTTGAGAATTGAGAGCCGAGACCGATGCTGCTTCAGTATGAAAAATCCCTCAGAACTTCCAAGTTTCCATGATATTACCAATTTAACTTTTTTTTCCAGGAAAATTTAGGGAGTTAGCGCAGAAGGACCGAGAGAGAGGGGGTGAGTTTAATGCAGTGTATTGCGGAAATCCATTGCTCCTTATGAATCCTATAACTTTGATAGGCTAGTTCTTTATGGGTCATCACGCCCTCCTGGAAATTATCGGGTTGGTACCTGAACCCTACGGGGGTACGTATTCATTTCTACCCCTTAGATGCTTGGTTGGCTAGACATTCTTTTAGCATAGGTATTCCGATTCGATTCGAGATTACCCCAGATATCGAGGGTATCTGCATATTCTTTAGCTTCTAGTAATGTCTTCTGTTTTTCTTGAAGAATTATTAGTTGTGAAATTTGTCATTTGCTTGTGTAATATATAATCTCGTATTATATTCGCTGGCCATCGAGATATTAAATACCTAGGTGGGTGTAAATGCTTTCTGCAGTCTCGTGGCGGCTCATTTGTTATGGACCTTACGTGTGTACCTAGTGTAAGTATGTACCTACTAGGTATTCTATGCATGACAGGTCCCGAAGATCCGTATCCATGGGATTTATATTGTGCCGTCCCGAGCAAGGGGTTCATTGGATATGAACACATACGGGAGGAGAGGAACCGTTGTATATGCTGTACACCCCGGGACCCTTGATCTTCCATGTTTCTTAAATGGGCATCAACACGTGTGTGGCTTCGTTCATTAGTTTACGCGTTGACTTACATGGATTGGCATTATGGATGCATATCAGAAACTGTCAATCCTGTTGGTCTTTGAGTGAGTCTGGCTGACCGGATTGTCCTGACAATTCGTTCAGATGTGACAGCATATAGTGGTGATGGAGGTTTCATCTACGCTTAAGAGCCTGACCAAGTGGCCTTCTAAGCAGTATCCCCCGTGCTTCCATTAGGACACAAACCGAACTGCTGCATTGAGAAATGACAATACCGCAAAGAACCGAAGACGCTATTTCTGTTCCACCGCTTGTACGGGAATAGCAGGACCGAGTACGGTACAGCTCAGCATCATACATGCGAGGGCAATAATCCCGTTTTGACTAGATAGCAGACTGACCTTTTATCCAGATGGGGTGATGTAACGCATATCGAAACAAAGGAGGAGATGATAGGTAGTCCCGAAATGAGCAAAGGTCGAGCTAGTTGGGGTCCCGGATGGATATTGATTAAAAAGACGCCCGCCCAGAAAAAAAAAAGAATAATACTTTCCGCATTCAGAGGCTGATATTCCCCAACATCCGTTCAGGTCACGCGTCTTACTTGACAAGTCTCGAACTGTTGCTTTGTAATGAATGTGTGAAGTCTCTCCACGTGTGAAAGAGAAGCATGAAGCCAGTGATTACTTACCTCGGTTAGCTGTTTTCATTTAGTTCCTCTACAGCATGGAGGGAATACACTTAGCTATTATAAGAAACCGGTAGTTTTAACTTGAAGCAGTTTGCACGGTTAATAAACAAAGGATGAGAAATATGTCTTGTAGGAGTAAATGGTTCATAGATATCGATCCATACATCTGCCACGAATATTAACAATGACTGAACTAAACGTGGTGTAGAAACTAGCTAATACCGGCGAACTAAGACAGGAGCGACTAGCTGTAATTGTCAATGTCTAATGGTTGGATAATGAGAACGTATACTATTTTGTCAGTTTGCTACCCAAGGCTTAACTAAGATAGGTAGGACCCTGATCTTCAGTGGTAGGCTTCGGCGTTAGTTGAAAATAAAGGCAAAGACTTGAACTTATTAGTCAGTGGATTGTCAAAAAAGATTTCGAACCCTAATATAGAAGGATCTTGAAAGGACAAGCCATTTGAAAATAAAGCATACACACCTAGGTAAGTACCTCTGTAAAAGCTTCGAGGAAATTTGATAGGTTATCCTTGATGTGTACCTCTTACTAGATGTATATGGATGGTTTGGATTTTCTAAATTTTATTTTATTTATTTATTTTAGAGAGAAGTTTAAAGATGCCGGGATGTAATCCGCAGATGTATGAATCGGTACATTAGAATTGAAATATTGTACCTGTATCCTTTTTTACGGACACCCCATTTACCAGAGCTCCTGCCGGGAGAACATCTCCAGGTACCAAAATACTTGTGTACAACATAGTGTCGGTAGACTCTTTTTTACTAGCAGTTGCCTGAACCGTGTTAGATTCTAGGCGCTGGATCCACCTGAAGAACCTGGACCACCGCTTTTTGCTACTAGCTCGATTCAGTTTGTGTCCAATGGTTGTACACCCTTGTTTCCACTGTTTTTTCAGTGGCCAACTTGCCTCTCAATTTTTTTTTTTTTTTGCTAAGCCTGCGCGCTGGCCGCTCCCAGTTTTTATTTACAGTAGGTTAGTGGGTTAATGGGCTGGGTACAGTAGGGGAACGCTACAAGTAGACAAGGTACCGAGGGGCGCTAGCGGTCAAAGAATATCTGGGTCCCACTTGGTACTGGTTGGTTGATTGTTTTTTTTTTTCTCTCTAAACTGGAGACATTCGAAGTTGCCATGGGGGTTTCTTGAGTTGTGTAAGAAATGGTCCAGTGTGTGTGGGCTTGACCTTAACCAAATTTTTTTTTCCTTAGGCCGTAGCTCCGTCAACATCATCACCTCTCTCTATTTTCCCCATCCTTCCCCAATCCTTTCAACCTCCCAAACACTTCCGCCTCAAACCCACCACTTTGCCGCTTCTACCTCCGTCTTCCTCTTTTTCTTCTTTCCTTTTTCTCTTACACCTTGCAATTCCGCCGCTTGCCAATATACTCGACCTTAACCGAATTTTCGATTTCCGATATTCGATTCTCGGAGCTGTCGACGTCAGGATTCAGGTTGTTACGACACATTGGAACCCTAAGAAAAAGAGAGAGGCACAACGAAGTTACACTTTGTTGTGAAGGAGAAGGTACTCGAGTTGGAAAGCAACACATCGATCTTATTTGGATCTTATTCGCCCGCCTGAAGAGCATTTCTTGCCATCCTCTGCAGACAAAAGTGAATCAAGGTCACAATTGCGACGACCAATCTTGCATTTCAACACGAACACCACTACCGACTAGATACAGCTTGACTGGACTCGCATATCACTCTTTCGCGAACAGCCCAGTTGTCGAATCTCGGGAGCGCTCTCACCACTATCAACATCCTTCGCATTAAGTAAGTAATTAATCTTCTAGAATACTGCATCATTGCCGTCATTCAAAACATTTACGATCCCTTTAAATTGTCGTCACTTTTCATCGCGACTACGATTTGAGCATTTTCTGGATGCCGATACATATCCGAGCATCTGGATTTATCACACGCACTTCACGATTTTGACTTTGTAGTCACGTCTACAGTCTGCAAACAATCCAAACTCATTCGCGATTCAGCTTGTATCTTGAATACAAGTTTAAAAAGAACCTGTGCCATTGCTCCATTGCTCTCCATTTACTTTCACTAGCAAGTCTCTTTTTCCCCGTTTCAACACCTCCAGACGATCAGCCTCGGCGCGCTTTTCCCAACCCATGGTTTAAACAAAACGCGCTCAAAGAGCAGTTCTTTTTATATCGATTCATTGTCCTAAAACATAATTGTTTTGTCAATTCACTAACACCAATAACTACAGATTTAAGAGGTCTTCACTGAACCTTTTATACCCTCGACGGCTTGCGCATATTTCCTACTCGAGTACGATTTGTCACTAATTTCGTCTATCCTAATCGCTGCCATCGCCCCAGCTCGGCAGACAGCGTGATTATTCACCTTTTTAAACACATCATTTCCTATTGGGACGAGTCTCTTCAATCAGCTCTCGATTAGACCTATAATTCGATCAATCGAGATAGGGACAACCGCTTCATGGCTTGCGCATCTCAATAGGGTTCTCAACAACCTTTTCCTCTATATTTTCTTATCTCTTCAGCCTTGGATATTACAGCCAGTTGTGTCGTGGTGTTTCCACCCAGCTGATCTGTTTCCACGTGCTTGAAGCAGAAACCCTCCGACAAAGGTCAACATTAGATCTTTGACGGAGTCCTTCCACACAACCGCCATCATGCCGGGCGGTGTCTGCGCAGTTCTCGATTACGAGACTGAACTCATGGCAGAGTATGTGGCTGATATGACGGTGCGAGTCATTCTCCCTAAGTCATCAGTTTCTGGCGCGTTTAGGAAGTTCGTGAACCAGATCCTTACTTCTACACGACTTCCGAGCACCACCATCCTCCTCGGAATGAATTACTTGGCTAAGAGAGTCAACATGCTTAACCAGTCCGGCTCATTCAATCCGAATGAGGGCCAGATGTGGAAAATGCTGACTATTGCTCTTCTCCTCGGTAGCAAGTTTCTCGACGACAATACCTTCCAGAATCGATCATGGTCCGACGTTAGTGGCATTGCAGTGTCAGACCTCAACACTATGGAAAATGAGTGGTTGAAACATATCGGTTGGTCGTTGTATGTCAATCTTGACCAGAGTCACGACTACAATGCGTGGCTCAAGAGCTGGAAGGAATGGGAAGAGAACAAGAAGTTCCACCAGATCCAGCAACAGCAACAACAACAGCAGCAGCAACAGTCCCACATCGCTATTCGCGAGAGGTTGGCACCGATCGTTACTGCTATTCACCCGGAGCCAGTACGGCAGCATCATGCCCTTGCCTTGCAGAGCTGGGCACAGGAGGATATTGCCGAGCACGAACGCTTCAACCTGAATGCCAGGCTCGCCCATGCCGGGACCACTGGTTACCGGTGCCGAGAGGGCTCCTGGCAAGGCTCATATTGTAATCCTTGGTCGCAGCCTCAGGCTCCTCTGACTCCTCCAGATTCTGGTTACGGAACCCCCGAGTATCTCAACTCGGCTGCTTCAGTGAATGCCTCTTATGATGAGTGGTTCTCTCAGGCTGTCAATGGGGGCTATAACAGACACTACAAGCCACCTGGTTACAAGGCACCTGGTCACAACGCATTCGCATCTCGTAGTGGATCCCATTTCCCTCAGCATTACTGCTCCCAATATGGTTCTGGTCCTTGGGATCCGAGCTTTCCTGAGTGTTGTACCCACTGTCGGGCTCAACGCCATGGCACAGGGACTGCTTACGTGTAAAAGCACAGTTATACCCAGTCGGTGATGGGTTAGGCCCGATTTTACGATGGCACGTCGTATTGTATCATCGATGCCAATTTGGATGAGGCTGACTCTTGTGCTCAGCCGAGGTTTTATGATATGGGGAATACTTGCACTAATGTCTACTCTGGCATCGTTCTCAGGCATGTTCAGGCACATAAATTTGTTACTCAGATACCCTCGGAGTTTCCTATACACCGGCGTAAGGTTTTCATCCCTGGTATGGGATAGGTTGGGTAAAGGAGGTCGCCGAATCGAATTTAATTTTCTCGCTTGAGTCGATATTCGTTCGCTCGTGTCGTCGTCGCGAAAGCATTCCATTCCGTCGATTCCTCGAATGCCGGTCCCGAATCTCCATATTCAGTGGGCGTCTCCTTCGCCTCGATACGTGTTGCTCCTTTTTTTTTTTTTTTTTTCATTTTTGGTTTTATTTTTTTACGACGTCTCCGCATCAATAATTATAGCGGCGTTAATTGGTTTTGGTTTGTTGGGATGGTCCGGTATTCCTGTTCTCACTTTGCAATAGATTATCGCATGTTACCTTCGGGTTCGCATTTCTATACCGGCGGCGGCAAAAGTCAAGGTTCTATTTTTTGGCGTTCTAAAATAAAGAGATGGACTATACAGCTAGCCTCATCGTCCTATCACTCACCTATACCTTGAGTCTCATTCGGGATGGTAGATCTCGCTTCGTCGGTAACTCTTTTCTTCGCCCTGTGGAGTAGTAAGCTGGCTATACTTTCGCCTCCGTCGGCCTTGGCCGATACTTCACGCGCTCGCCAGGGTAGGACTGGGTTTCTTGTTCTTTTGTCTACGGTTCACTCACGATTCTTACGTTAATTCACCTCACGAATATTTACCCGAGGCTGACACAACTGATCAGCCCGGGGCTTTTTGAGCAGTCCTGTGGATATTTTGGATGCTTCAGGGGTATTTCCCACAGTCTATGTTCCCACTGTACAGCTCATAGACTGGAATATGTCTTTCAGTATGTTTGAGGGCTCATAGGATACGTTTTTCTTTGGTTCCTTTTTTTCTCGGGTTGAAATAAAGAAAATGGGCATTGGCCCAGCTGTAGGACGCAGCATTGGGAGTGGGATAAAAATTGGGCTGCACTATTTGTTTTCTACTCGGTGTGGATCATCTTGGAGCGAGTATCCAGCGGACTTCACAAGACATGAGTGTCTTCGCCTTTGTCCTGATCAGCTTAGTCCTGAGTGGTAGTTCTAGCACCTGGTACGCCTCGATGTCTACGTCACTTAGCTAGGTGATGAGAGGGAACCGTGTATTGGGCTTTCTACCTGGTTGGCTCTAAATACTCGTTGGTTTTCCTTCACTACTACTACTGTTCTTGCCTCCTTGAGATGGGGTATTTCGATTGATTTCCTTTCACGACTACCATGACCAAAGCCTAGGTGTAAGGCTAAGTGAAGGGGTTATGGGTCGAGGGTTTGGGGTCTGGGGGTTGTTAGCGATGCTTCGCACGTATAACTGTATGGTAAGGTTTGGCTGTCTTGAAGTTTGCATGGCTATAGGCGTCCTCGATACAGACAACGAGGTGCCATGGTTGACAGCCCATCGAGGCTTTTTTCGGCTTATTGTTACGTACAATTGATAAACCTAGACTAAAAATATTAAACTGCAAACTTCACGAAGATATAGCGTGTCTCTTGTAATAACGGGTATATTAACCCGTCAAATTGTTACTTTAGGTAGATACCCCCTATAATTGGAATATAATTAAATTCCGTATATAAATGAGTTAAGAATTTAAGCGGGATGATTTAAATGATTTAAATGATTTAGGCCTGTTGGAATTTGTTATGATCTAGTACTTATCGATAAAGACTGGTAACAAGATCCAAATGTTAATATTATGTGATCTTTAACCTGAGGCTAGAAAATGAATCTTTTAAGGATTTAAGTATAACAAATCAAATAAACTACCTCTTTATGAATTTTCTATGAGACATATGCTACCTCTTCATTCTTATCAGCGCACCTACACACCAAAACATCTATAGAATAACAAATAGAATGACATCCCGTTTCGTGTCGGCTGGCACCATCGCCGGCGACGACGGTGAACCGCAGCAATCTGCATCCGTGTCACCTTCGAGTAAGACGCAGGAAGCCCCGGAAACACAGAAATGGGATAAGGAAACCGTTAAGAGAAACGCCGAATGGGAAGCCGTGCAACGCGACCTCGAAGCTGACCGCCGGAGACGCGAAGAGGCGCGTAGGGCACAGGTCGAGGGGGGTCCCGGCGGGGAGAGTAAGACCTTGTTTGATATTTTGCAAGCGAATAAAGGTACGGTTTGATTTTCTTGAATACTTTTATTTTATTTTACTTTATTTCTTCCTCATCGTCCTATGATAGCATTGCAGGAGGTGAGGACTTGTATTATGTGCGAGAGAACGAAAAAACTAAAATAAGAGATATTAGCGGCTAAGCAGGCGGCATTTGAGGAGAAGACTCGTATCAGCAATCAGTTCCGCGCGCTGGACGACGATGAAATCGACTTTCTGGAAAGCATGCGTGATGAGCGACGTGTGGAGGAGGAAAGGGTTAAGCGGGAGACGGAGGAGAGGTTGGCTAGTTTCCGACAGGCGCAGAAGGCTACCGGAACTACTGCTTCTTCGGGGGACGCCGAAGACGGGGATGTCGTGCGTGAAGATATCGGTGAAGATGTCGGGACATGGACCGGCGGGGTAAAGAAGCGAAAGAGGCCCGATAAGGAGGTGAAGGCTATTGTTAAGGGTGTGAAAAAGAGAGCTAGTGGTTCCGAGAAGGAAGTTGAACGAGCAGTTGAGCCGGATACAAAACTAGAGGGGCTGAAGGCGAAGACGGAATCAAAGCCTATACCGAATGTCAGGACAAACTCTGATCCAAAGTCTTCGAAAACCATAGAGGAGAAAACGGACCAGGAACAGCCAAAATCCAAACCGAAGCTTGGCCTGGTGGATTATGGCTCCGACGAGGACGAAGATGATTAAATGCATGTTGATTGAAGCTTCATGCTACTAATTCATGATGACTATTTGTTTACTGCTGCCATAATCTCTACGGCTCTAGCCTTGACATAGGTACGTAGGTCAAAGCCTAACAAGATTTGGAACAGTCAACGAGATATTAATATTTACGATGAGTGAATTGGAAGTTAGGTGTGGAAATTATCGGATCAGTCAAGATGTTAATGAATTAAACCCTATAGATGGTCACAATGATAGCATAGGTAGACACAGCGCAAAGACTGGTCTGATAAGTCCTGTTATCTCGGATATTCAACTACTATGCTCTAATATGAAGAGTCAACCCGCCAACTCCACAGACTACTCTTGTTATGGCGGATGCAAAAGACAATGTCACATATACAATGTACGAATAAGAAAATAATTGGTCGAGAAATGGGGCTCCGAAGATAGAGTTGTGATTTTTTTTTTTCCAAATGTAAACATAATCACATGGTCGTCATATAATTGCCTATACCCTACATACATAGCGTAGCACATCCCAACATTGCCCCCTTACCACCACTTTTATGCAAACCCGATGCGTTGCGGCATGTTAGTACAGGCAGAGCCGTATGCCGACCGGCAATGCACGATGAGGTTATCCTTCTATGCATACTATTATATTTTACATTTGAATCCTTGGTGATTGCTAGACTGAGGTAAATCTGGACAGACGATTAGGGTCGACTCTCACTCGTCGAGCCACGCGGGGTTGGGCTCGGGTTTCGAGATGGCCCAGCGGTACAAGCTCCGGAAACTGCCCTTGATCCAACCCTCTATCTCCTCTTCTGGGACCACGATTTCCTTAGCGCGAGCTTCCTCCTCGGGCTGTATTTCGAAGCGACGCATTCGCATCGCGACTCGCGGGTCCAGCACTACGGGACTTGTCCATATCTTCTCTTGAGGCGTGGTGGGAATCTTCTTTTCTTCACCCTCCTTGGGTTTGTCTTCTTTCCATGTAGCCTTAGGCCAGTCACTCTCCTCGTGTTCAAGGGCAGTTTGTTGCTCTGCCTGTGTTAAGTCTAGGTCCTCGCGGTACTCGCGCGCCGCTGCTAGGCATACGGCTGCAACTTCGCGGCCTATGTCGTCGGCTAAGTAGCGACGGTTGAAGAAGCGTCTTAAACGTATAAATGTGTTGGAGAAGCCGAGAATATGGGGGAATGGTATGGGTGCTGAGGGGGAGAATTCGGCGGGAATAAGCATCGGAAGGGGGGAAGTGGGATAGTCGTTTGTTGTGTTGTATGGCGGTGGTTGCGGTGGTCTCTCGGGTTTCTCCTCGGGTTTCGGCTCTTGCTTCTCGCCTTCGCTTCCTTCCGTAGCTGGTGTCTCCTCGGCTTTCTTCACTTCGGGTTCCGGTAATACGGGCGGGGTGAGAGGTCCTAACCAGCCCTCATGTATACCCCGTACATACTCCTTCCACGTATGTCGTCCAATTACAATATCGCCTCGAAGACCCTGCCACTCGGGCGTCGCATTCTTTTTTCTTATCTCCCTCACGATCTCCTCCTGAGTTTGAACCTCTGTTTCCGGCTGCCTCGTCCGTCGTATCCTCTCAGCCACCGCAGCTCTAACGTCGCCCTCTTTCCTGCCCTGTACGAACTCCCAGTCCAATCCTGATGCGGCTAATATCGGTTTTACGTATTCGGTGAAGTGGTCCTGTGCCACACGGAGACCGTCACCGGGGGGACTCTCTAGGAAGATGGTGAGTTTTCGTGGTAGCTGGGTCGGATTCGTGATAGGCTCGCGCGCGAGGTGGGAGACTGCTTTGGACCACCGGACAGTTGCGCGCTTCTTCTCGCGCTTGTCGTATATTACGGCGGCAGAGATGGATCCCGTTACGGCGAAGAAGATCATCCAGTTGCGAGAGGGGAGCTTCTTAGGTAGCCCGGGTATTCCCATCATGCGGAAAGCTGGGTTAGGTGTTGGGGCTTTGTAAGTAGTCCCAGAGCTTGTCGCTGTCGCCGTCGCCGCCGCCTATCGCAGGTTAATAAGACAGTTTATTTCGGTTTCTAGACTTTACTTACAGGCGAAGCCGACACTGAAGAAGCGCCTTGGACGGGAGGCTTTTGATCCGCCATAGCGAATTATCCTCGGATTTTTGTATTAACCACAATGCCTAGAAGGAATCTTTAAATTTGCTCGAGGTTCATCAGATGCGGCCGATAACAAAATTTCGATGGGGTCGGATCTATGTAGCTCCTATCGGTGAACCCCACGCTCACCTACCGGTTTAGGTAGTCCCAGCCAATCAAATAAGTTTATTGAATAGCGGATACATAGATACTCTGGTACTTAAAAGAATGGGATATCTGCATGGAAATTCTGGATAATAGGCTTGAGCATTCTCCGGTACTAATATTAAAATGCAAGTATTAGAGGCCATAGCGAGAAACTCAAGAGACTTGGAATATTTTCGAGAAATATGTATGAAGGGTCAAATTATTATTATTATCAAGGTTCCCTGCTAAGTAGGTAAATTAGTTGAAAGGGGGTTAAGACCGTTGTTTGATGACTTCTTATTACTTTATTATATTGGTATAAGGTACCTTTAGCGAGTTTCGAAGCTTCTAACATCTATTAACTAACTACCTAACTATTCCATATAAGTTCAGATGTAAATGTTCCAACTTAAACATAGAAACGGTACGTACATTTGTTCTCATTATGTAATATGCTAATGATAAATTGTTAGGAAAATAATCAATGCAGCCAAATATCATTGTCGTCTTTTTAAAGTAAACATGCATTGCATGTGATAATAGGATGAGATATGGGGTGATGTATGTGCGTCAGGGACGTTAATCAAGCTTGAGTTTCGAGTTGCTTTACGGACGCACATGCAATCACGACCTTACAATTCTTAGCTTGGAGCGGCTACGTGCATAGTCTCCATACATATGCACATGGCAATGCTTTAACAGATAAACGAAGTACCCTGACCCTAACATAACCTAACATGGGAGCGCCCGGAGTCTTGGCACGCTACACCAAGAATGGCTAATCGCCTGTCGATAGCGCCCCTCCCCAGGCGGTTGACTTGCTGGCGAGTGTTTTCAGGGGCTTCGTCGCACCCACTTACCGTCCTCTTTAGGGAATTACCTTGACCAGTAGCATTTTATTCCATTCGAGGGTTGGGATCCATCCAGACAACTTCATATAATTCTGAAAAATCCCCCCCCTTCGCACACTCTCTTTACCTCTATTCCTTACTGGGTCAGGAAATCAAGTCATCGTTCAGTTGTGTGTACGGGATCATTTCGTTTATGCGAAAAGGGGAATACTAGGAATTTCCAAGTTGAATTCTAGTGATACCCCTCTATGAACTGCGGCGCACTTTCGCCTTTGAACTTTCGCGTTGCTAGCAATCGTTACAAGCCGCAACATAAATTTGGGCCCTATCTATTGTTCTCTTCACCTCCTCTTTTGACAGTCGCTTTCTTGAGACATTGATCAATATTGCGGTGAACTCGATATTCAAGGAACCAATGAAGTTTTAGCTACCCACAACAATACCTATAGTTGTCACCTATCTAACCCTAGCTACACTTCTCAGTTACCTCTTAGAACTTGACCTCGACTTCGACTTAGGCTTCGACTACTCGTTACCCCGATTTACATTCACTCCAGTTTAAATCTTTCTCTTAAAAAATACTTGACAAAGTCAACTATAAAGCAATTGCAACCAAGATGGACCCTAATAATCGCCTCTATCTTAACTTCAACAGTAACGAGCGGCTTAGTGGTCCCTCAGACCGCCAATATCCTACCACGCCCTCTACCTTCCCTCAACCGGTCTTCCCAACGTCTTCGCAACAGCATCTTGCTTCCCAGCAGTCTCAAGCTCCTCAGCAATATGCTGGTGGTTATGCTCCCCAGGGCAACTACTTTGCGCCTGGCCCATATCAGGCTCCCGCCGAATACGGTAGTGCCCAAGCTACAGGAGCATATCAGCCTCGATCCAACACTCCTGGGACCAATGATCCCAATGTCGGTCTGGCTCACCAGTTCTCACACCAGAATCTAGGAGGTGCCGGTCGAGGTGGTTCCTACGGAACGCGAGGTCCTTCGCCAGGTCAACGACCCCGAACTTCAGGCTCGTCCAGCCATCAACCTGGTTATAACTATGCGAATGCTCCTCCCATGCCCGGTCAAGGTTCCCGCCAGCCCGATTTCCAGCCTGCGCCCGAGCGAAACCCCGAGAAATATGGTCTCAATGCGAATAATAACCAGAAAAAGTGTTCACAGCTGGCTGCTGATTTCTTCAAGGATAGCGTCAAGCGTGCTCGTGAGCGCAACTTACGGTATGTCATTATAGTTTAGCCTAAGATCGATTGCTACTATTGATGTCGAGGAGGATGCTAACTGCTCAATTACGAATAGACAGAGCGAGATGGAACAGAAACTCTCAGAGCCCAACCAGTCTTCTTCGAGGCGTGAACAGATTTGGCAAAACGGCGGCAAAAAGGAAGCACGCTATTTACGATTCTTGCGAACTAAAGACAAGCCCGAGAATTATACTACAGTTAAGATCATCGGAAAGGGTGCTTTCGGAGAAGTCAAACTGGTCCAAAAGAAAGCCGACGGTCAGGTCTACGCTATGAAATCCCTAATTAAAACCGAAATGTTCAAGAAAGATCAATTAGCCCATGTTCGAGCTGAGAGAGATATCTTAGCCGAGTCTGACAGCCCTTGGGTTGTTAAGCTCTTCACGACGTTCCAGGATGCCAATTTCCTCTATATGTTGATGGAGTTCTTGCCTGGTGGAGATTTAATGACGATGCTTATCAAGTACGAAATCTTTTCCGAAGATATTACACGATTCTATATCGCAGAGATCGTGTTAGCTATCGAGGCCGTTCATAAACTTGGTTTCATTCACCGGTATGATTATAACTCAGCTATTTATAAGTACTTCTGTTACTGACTAGATGATATAGTGATATCAAGCCTGACAATATTCTTCTTGATCGGGGTGGGCACGTCAAGCTTACCGATTTCGGTCTATCCACAGGTTTCCACAAGCTTCACGATAACAACTACTACCAACAACTTCTGCAGGGCAAATCGAGTCGGCCTAAGGATCGGAACTCGGTTGCTCTTGACCAGATTAACTTGACGGTCAGCAACCGTTCCCAAATTAACGACTGGAGGAAGTCTCGAAGACTGATGGCGTACTCAACCGTCGGTACCCCTGACTATATCGCACCAGAAATCTTTACAGGACAAGGTTATACCTTTGATTGCGATTGGTGGTCATTGGGTACTATCATGTTCGAATGTCTTGTCGGCTGGCCTCCGTTCTGCGCGGAAGACAGCCACGACACGTACCGAAAGATTGTTAACTGGAGACAATCACTTTATTTCCCAGACGATATCACACTTGGAAGGGAGGCTGAGCACCTGATCCGAAGGTAAGTTTTGTATTGTGACATTAATTTTACGTTTGCTAATAAAGATTCAGTCTCATCTGCAATACTGAGGTGCGACTTGGAAGAAGTGGAGCTCAGGAAATAAAGGCTCATGCGTTTTTCCGTGGTGTCGAATTCGATAGTCTTCGACGTATTCGAGCTCCATTTGAACCTCGTCTAACATCAGCCATCGACACAACTTATTTCCCAACGGACGAGATCGATCAAACAGACAATGCGACGGCTTTGAGAAACCAAGCCATCGCAATTGGAAAACCAATTGAGGAGTCACCCGAGATGAGCTTGCCATTCATCGGGTACACGTTCAAGCGGTTCGATAACAACTTCCGTTAAGCGTGTGGTTGATTTATCTGGTCTCGACTATTCAGCCCTTTCCGAACCTAGTTGGTTTGTGATCTCTAAAAGCTGAGGTTAGGACAATTGAGGATTTGGACTTTATGGGGGTCGTGGCTTTAGGCCACTAAATTGTCTGGCATATCCCCGAATCCAGGAAATAATATTTGCGGTGAGACCTGGTAGTCTCTCATGCCTAAGAAAAAAGGGAAAAAAAATATTAAGCCACATCTCTGAAATGAAGACATGGTAGTCTGATTACGTTAATATCTTGGCTGCTAAATCATGAGACGATACTGCTTTTGTATTTTTGCGATGTTTTTGATGCGTGACGAACTAGATGATATAGTAGTAAACTACTTACGAGTAGTTGGTTAACATGACTACTGAACGGTTATTATTATCTTGTCGCTACTGTGGGCTGTGTGTGTGTGTAAATATGAAATATGCTATCCGAGATGAAAGTGTAGTTGCTATAGTTGTACCTAATTAATTAGAATCTTTATTTTACAACTTTACAATTTCACAAATTTACACCTTCAAACTTGTATGAAGATACAATAAAAGGGGGGATGATTACCTAAGTTCAAGCTTAGTTGACAGCTGTTGGCGGCTGGCAGCCGTTATCTTATCTTACTAGCTTCCAAACGCCATCAATCAATCAGAAGCTTCTCATTCTCAGTCCCATAATTACACGCTTCCCTTCCCATCTTATACAAACCACCAAACATCAACGAAGTTCCCATTCAATCCGCGCGCAAATCTTCAACACGACGAAAGAGCACAAAAATTAGTATATAAATACTATAGATATCAATTAAACAACGCGGAGGAAGATACGATAATGGATTATCAGAACCGCGCCGGTTCCAAGTTCGGCGGCGGTGGTGTCGCCTCTCACAGCGCCACCAATGCCGACCGACGAGAGCGTCTACGCAAGCTCGCCCTCGAAACCATCGACCTCGACAAGGACCCCTACTTCTTCAAGAACCACGTCGGGTCATTCGAATGCCGCCTCTGTCTAACGGTGCACCAAAATGACGGGTCCTACCTCGCGCACACCCAGGGCAAGAAACATCAGACGAACCTAGCGCGGCGCGCGGCCCGGGAGCAGAAAGAAGGCAAGAGCCAGATCGACCCCAACACGGGGCTGCCGGTGGGCGTGGTGGGCGCGGGCTTCGGGGCGGGCATGGTGCGGCGCAATATCGTCAAGATCGGGCGGCCGGGGTACAAGATCACCAAGGTGCGGGACCAAGTGACGCTGCAGCAGGGGCTCCTGTTCCAGCTGCAGTACCCGGAGATCGCGCAGGACGTGATGCCCAAGGTGCGCTTCATGAGCGCGTTCGAGCAGCGCGTCGAGGAGCCGCCCGACAAGAACTTCCAGTACATGCTCGTGGCGGCGGAGCCGTACGAGACGTGCGGGTTCAAGCTCCAGGCGAGGGAGATCGATCGCTCGGGGGATCGGTATTGGACTTGGTGGGATGCGGATCTGAAGGAGTTTTGGATCCAGGTTATGTTTTTGACGGAGCGGGAGGAGAGGTATGTTGGTGTGCCGGGGTTGCCGGGGAGGAGGTGATTGGTTTGTGTTGTGGTTGGGGAATACCCGGTGCTAGGGAAGATTGGAGAAGAGAGCTATGCAGAGGGGGAAATACGGTCGAAGGCGATAGTCCGGCCTCGACGATAATTATACGCTTTCTCGGTCATGTTGAGCCTCGTTCTACGATGGCTAACATCCGACAAACTCGTTTCCCGCTCGTGTAAGTGGCTTATTCAAGGAATGCCCTCAGGGGAATGTGGGTAATGCCATCGTGTACTAATACGAAATAGACCTACATCGATGATATTCTCTACGTCGTATTTAGGGCTTGAGAAGTGGGTAGCAAAAGAATGATATCATGTAGCACCAACAGCGAAAATTCATGGAATGGGATCAAGAATCGTGTCACATCTTGAAATATACCTAGGTAACTTGTGTGTGAAGGACTCCTGCAAAGTATAGAACTCTACATAAGTACCTAATCTAGCGTAGTGACAGCACTTAGTCTTATGTCAACACATATTAAAATCTTATTGGCAAATGTTTATTCATAGGATAATTTACCCTCTACTAACTAAGCCAGAGTAATGGCCTACCTAGGTAGCTAGATGTGTGCTCTCGGGTTTTTAGTCAATGTCTAAGACCATCTTGACTCAGTCTTTGCGGATATTTGCTAGCTCGATGCCTTTGGCTTTATCACTCAACCTCGCGGAGAGAAAGCTCGGAAGCGTACAAGAGTGTGGTTCTTCTCTTGAGGTCGAGGCTGGCGCTTTTGGGAGCGCGCTTGATGGCAAGGGGATCCATCTAGGAGTAACTAATCCCAACATCGTTGATATAGTTATCAGGTAACTATAGCGAGCATATGGGGGATTCAGCGGCGGCTCCAAGATCCCTAGCTTCTGGAGCTGTATACTGAGTGCGCCCAGCAGCATCGACGAACACTCGAATGAGCATCCAGCTCGGCCCTCGCGTAAGCGTTTTAAAAGGTCATATAAAAGAAAAAAAATCTGACCCAGGAGATACTCCCTCTGCTCATCGATTCTTCCTATCGAAGCGATTAGCATGTTGTCTACACAGACGGGAGTAGATGAACTATAGGTACTTACCGGCCGCTGCCGTGATTGGCAGGCCTAACGTTGGGAATTTACCTTTACAATGCTGTATAGCGACCAGCGTTGCGTTCTTGAATAATTTTTCTTTACGGAAAACTTGAGTAACTAAAATCCATAGAACAATGTCCCTGTTAAACGTATGTTTGTCATAACCAGGCATATTGTTTATCCATACATCTGACCACACCATAACTGCCTCATGGCATTGGTAATAGTCAACCAGTACGGCAACCTTAGCAACTTCTTCAAGAGTCATTGATTTGGGGATTTTGTAATTGTGACCGTGTATAATTCGCATTAGAATGAGCATAGAATTCTCATCCCAACCCTCAGCATCCACACACAGGCGACCATCTGGGGACGTTGGCGTTGCTTCTATCCAAGGACCTCGCAGAAGGTTTTTAAAGTACCCGGAAGCTAAAGATAGATGTCTTGACGAGAGTAAGAACTGGACTTTGGCGTTGGACTTGTAGATTGGTCTGACATGAGTAGCTTCGGTTGCTATCTTCCTATACCAGTATTCATCCCATACAGCAAATGGTGCGTTCGGGTTGTGAAGTGTAAGTAGGACATCTCCTTTAGGATCAAGCTCCCAAGGTGCTACAACCGGATTCGCCATGATGCGAAATATTATTATATCCTCTCAAGTTTGTAAGGGAAAAGAAGGAAATGATTATCTAAGGTACGCAAACATCGAAGTACGAAGCTCGAGCCAACTCGGCCACAGGTCAATACCTACTACCCCACATAAACAAACACCTTCACCATAAGTGAAATACGATCAGTCATTTTAAGATGACCAAATTTAAGTGTATAGCAATGCTAAGTTACAATGAGCATTTCTTGAATAAGTTATAAATTATGTAAGGAACAGGTTGGCCCTATGAATAAGAGCTTTGAAGCCGGACCTCCGGGGGTAGGCGGATATCCGGAATATAATTTTTTCTATAGCGACTTGGGACTTGATGGATAATATAACTATGATAAAACATTAATAAACTATCCGAAGTACGAACTCCATTATGAGAATACTCTGCCTTCACGCTGATAGCCAGAATGAGGCAATCTTGAAGTCAGAATTAGGTATATAGTCACATATTATGGCAAGCAAGTTACCTCCCTTGCTGACCCTTTAAAACAGCTTCTTTACTATCAAAGTTGCAACATTCAAACTCAAACCTCTTGTTTGAATTTGTTAACGGTCCTTTGCAATATTCAAACTTACCAGCGGAAAACTCATCGCCCCATAAGATACACCGCTATAAGTTCTATGAGGTTGAAGAAGTCGAAGATATTCGTAAAGCTAGCGAGTGGCTAGCTACAAAGATAGACAATGATGGACCCTACGATGGTGTTTTAGCAGTTTCTCAAAGCGCTGCTGTTGTTTCCAGCTTTTTATTATATCGACAATGGTATGATCATGAGTTACCGCCAGCTTTCAAATTTGCCATTTTCATCGACGGAAGAATTCCGCTCAAGATTCTAAAAGATCTCGGAGTGCCTGTCTCGAACGAGGCAGAAAACGTAGTAGCGGAAGCAAAACTGCAGCGAGACCGAGGCCTTGGTCCTTTACCAACTCATACGACTAAGGCGCGCCGGGCAGTATATAATTCGGACGATTGTTTTGGATTAAACCTAAACAGAATTCCGTTAGAGCTGAAAATAAGAATACCAACCGTACACGTATGGAGCGAGAATGACCCTTTGTTTCCGACTTCAGTTCAACTCACGGGGCTCTGCGACCCATATATTAGAAAGATACAAATACATAAAGGGTCTCACGAAATGCCCCGCGACGAGGAAGGTTTATCGGAGTTGGTATCACTGATCGACTGGTGCATCCAGCGTGCGACATGGCCTGGTCAAATGCAACTATAGAATTTTATTGATCGAGACTGAGATGATGGGGAAATTGTAGACAAGAATTTTATAGCACTTCATGATCGATTTGATGGAATAATGGTGTTGCATATATAAAATATTGTTGAAAGCTCTTCATAGAATTCCCCTTTGACGCAATTTGTTGCGTGGCATGTGATAGGAAACTGATGGATGGGAGTAATGACTCCCCTTGTCTTAGCCTAGATCGTCATCCGAGTCACCCCAACCCAACCCGAATGATCTCTGACTTAGCGATCTTAAAAAGTATGTAGTTACGATATTTCAACAGTACTGCTTTCGTTTTATTCGTCTCTCTTACCGACTTTACTTTCTCTAAAAAAAGAAAACCAAAGTGTGCTACGGAAGTTAGGTCCTGAAGATATTGGGATTTGCGTTGCATGCAAAGCGGAGTCGCTGGCTTGTTACGGTTAGTATACCTGTTCGAAGTTGGTGTACGACTTGTGATCTTCGACGATCTTGAATGATTGATAAGAATTACATTGCCAATATTGACTTTTCTTACTTATGATATAGTATCATGAAAGAAAAAGTAGAAAGATAAACGACTTTGTACGTAAGAGGGATAACACAAATGATCTAAAGATGGTAAGTTGCTGCGGAACGACCGAGGCAAGGGGAAGTTCTCTTGATATGGAGTCAGCCAAATACTCTATAAGGTAGGGTTACTATCACACTCGAAGCGCCGGCTAACCTCTCCTTGTCGTCCACTCCGACGTCACCACTCGATACTGCTTACTTTCGGCTTATAGTCTGACTATGTTATTGTTACTTTTGGACGGCGAGTGTTCTTTTCCATGAGACCTCGTACCTGGCTTCTCTCCCGAGGAGCGACCCTGACTGCGAGATCAACGTCAGCAATTCCTCTTCAAGTTCCCATAAGTCTATATAATTATGTCAGCAACTAGCAACGAGTTCTATCAGTGTGATGAGAATAGACGTGAGACAGAATTGAACCTATTCAAGACGAGGCGGTGACTAGATGCAAATCATGTAACGGTGCATGACCCTTCGGTCAGGTGAGACGACTCATAGGGTCCTTACCTGTGGTATCTAATACAATATATACGCTACCATATATAAATAAGCTTTCATAGTCTCCTGACTCGAGGATTAATATTCATAGCATTTCAAAATCCAAGATACTGCCACTCTCGAATTTCGATACGAGGAAATACTATCTCTTGGCAAGAAGTCTCGCAACGATGTCTGATATTAAAGACGTTCACTCTCCTCTCCTAAGCCCGGGCTCGAGGACTTCGGTTCCTCAAATAAGCTCGCCCTCTGTCCCCAAGTCATCTAAATCTCCCGCCTCGCCTCAGAAGCCAAGCATAGCAAACCCGACGCCGACTGACCCTGCACCTATAAAGACAATCACCAACCTATCCTGGGGAGCCCCAGCAGGCCTTGCTATCCGTGGACCCAACGACGAGAACCTCGTTATCTTCAGAAAAGCGCTAGGAATAAACTATGCCCGCGACACTACCGAGAGCGGTACTCTCGAAGAGGGACGCAACACCGCGGTTGGCATATACAAATCCGTGATTCAAACCCAACAGATCAAGGGTGTCCAAAACGCCCTCCTCACCGCATTCCTCTACCTTTGCTACTTTGCTCAGATCGTCATCGGCGCTGCGCTAACCGCCATGGGCCCCAACTCCGGACGATACGAAGTTCTCATTACCGTGCTCGGAGCTATCAACACGGTCTTGGCCGGCATTCTAGCTCTGATCAAGGGATCTGGGCAGCCGCAGAGGCTGGAGAAGGACCGTGTAGGGTTCAGGAGGCTGCAGGACTGGATCGAAGAGACCGAGGCACTACTTGCTGTGGGGGTTATTGGCCGGAATAGGAAAGAGGTTGGCTTGTTGGTCGAAAGCGCCTTTAAGCGGTACAACGCGGCTAAGATGAGCGTGGAGAATAACAGTCCTGACTTTTACGTCAACCAGCCGGATTCGGGCGACGACATGTCAGATACTGCCGGAAAACCACTACGACATAATGGACTTTGATCTTACGGCCACGGGCACTTAACTACGGGGATAGATATGGATATTAGCTCTTGACTAAATTTAGAGTGTCTTGTCAGACTACAAATGGGGTTGAGGATAGGGGGTGTTCCGGATGACTGATGACTTAGATGGATTACATTATTTAGACGCAAGTAGCTATAGAGAGTTGTCTTCTAGTTGTAATTTTACACCTTATTAAAACTTCGATGCGTAACTGTATTGTATGTATAATAGACGTCTCTGAAATCTGATATCGGTCGTTACACATGTACCTGCGTAACCGCATGGCATATGCAGTCAATCCGGGGTGGCTAACGGTCTAGTTTATTGGTTTTTGGATGTCGTCAGCATATATGGTTAAGGGGGAAAAGATATTACTATTGGTAAGATCGCGGCACTCATATCGTCCTTTATAGCTTTGGCTGACCTCAGAGACTGTAAGACTAGACTTTAATCATCCAATATCCACGACACGGCGTAAGCTTTTGTACGCCGCATTGGGGTTCGTTGCATCCAATAGTGCTGACAAGTCGGTAGTGCGTTGATATTCTCAGCACTATTAAAGAGCCTCGTTTTATCTAAGTCCACGTGAATAATGACAATTCTTAAGTCTTGAGCTATTTCTCGAGGTTCTATTCCTAGACATCTAGATCTTTTTTACTACAACTTGGGTGTTCCGCAAGGAACTCTAACCTAGCTACGAGGATTTACGTTTATGCATGCTGAACATATCCTTTGTCCTAGGTATCTCATCTAGAATCCTGTCACTTTTTGTATATTAGTAGTAGTCTTGATAACTTCCTCACCTCCCTACTAAAAGGTAATCGCTTTAAAGAAAAGAAGGTATATGACTGATTGTATTTCTACGTGAGGTTTGATAAGAAGAGCTTATAGATAGGTAGGACGGCACTCTGGATTAACCAGTGCTTGTCGGACCCGGATATAAAATTTAAACATACCATGTTTCTTAGCCATTAGTATATCCGTATGTATTCTATTTATTGCTTTATTTTAACGAAATAACATATAATACATATATTCACTGAGTGATCTTCCTCGTGAGAATACCAAATTCATCCTCCACGCGAATCTTCTCAGTGTCTATTCACCAAGATCCATAGCCAAAAACTTCATATTTAAGTGGCCATGGATTTGCCCGACTTCTAAACTCCTATTTTCTACCCCGAGGTAGTCTTTACCTTAATGTAGTCCTTCAATAGAGGCCGTCTGGATATCTCCCAATATCGCATATATCGATTTAGTGGCTTAACGAACGGACTCGTTTGCAATAGTCTTCTGGGAACGCATCGCCTTCCCTCTTCCGTAAATTCGGTAGACATTGGGCATTGAAATACGAAGATACTCCTCCGCATACGAATGTTTCACTTCTCTTATTCTCACTGGATTCTTCAGCTTCATTGGAGCAATTCAGGGGATTCTCAAACTCTAGCTGCTCGGCTAGATCGAGTAGCTTAGAGCCCGCTTTCCGAACACGACGGTGAGGACTCTTCTGAAGTTCTGCCTGAACCCACTGGCGAAAATCTTCCGATATTTCGGCCCCAGAGCGTAGAAAGATCTCTGCAACTTCTGCAGGTAGTAACCGGTCACTTTCATCTAGAACGATCCATGATGTTGATTCCAGCCAATTAAGCCATGGGGTTGTTGTAACCGCCTCTCTCGGATCGAATATTTCGTAATTCGGATCTCCGCCGTAGGAAATCAACAAAGACACCATTTCAGAAAGTAACCCAGACATATCTCTGCCGTAAAGCCACTCTCGGATACCCCCACAGGTCAAGGGAAGAGACACCGCGTGGTACAGCAAGCTAGACCATTTATCCTTTCTAGGAATTGCCAGATCATCCTGTAGAGAAGAAGCATTACTCTTAACAAAATTTATTGCACCAGCCTCAACAGCAAGGTCTACTATTACCGATGACAGTTTATTCGCCTCGGCAATCCGCCCCAGCATATCATCTTCGTTTTGTGGATCTGGCTTTAGAGTATCGATAAATGGCTGAATAACCCAGAAGATGTTATTTTTGCTTTCAGGATGTTGGGAATCGGATTGGGCTCCCCAATAAAACCCGTCACATAGAAAGCTCGTCGCCTGCGTGGAATTATAGGGGATGCTCGCCATAGCCAAATAGAGACCAATGCGAGACAGCTCCGAGGCAGCCTGGAGTCCATTCGGGGGCCGTAAACACTCGAGATCCCATGATTTCTCATTGCTTAGGAATTCAAAGACAGTCCGGTGCATAAATATGACTCTTCCATCGATCTTTGTATCGTGTTCCTCTTCACCTCTAGTGCCGCAAAAGCAATGCCTACAGTCGTCTCGGCTGACACGGCTCTCACTCCAATTTGTCTCCAACAATCCTCCTGTCCGACTCCTTAACCGCCCTTCAAGTTCTTCACATAATGTACGTTTCTGGCTTCTCTCTAAAGTTGGTATTCGCTCCATATTCGTATAGTCATCATCGATTAGGGCTAAGCCGAGTAAGGTCATGTCGCTGTATTCTAGCCTGTCCTGTGCTTGTCGCGCTTCAAAACATATTCTCAGCATTCGAGATCCCTGCTCTCTATGACGCTTGTTGATTCCATTGAGCATATGTTGGAACATCTGCTCAAGCTCTGGTGGCAGCTCATCGACGCGACGTTGTAGCTCGTGAATCCTATCAAAGTCCGCGAAACCTAGTGTGAGAGATCTGCAAGCGAGAATAACCCAGAGAAAGACCCCCGAAGCTTTGTTGACTAGACCTTCCATAATTGCTGTTGCCTCGACGGTATGTCGATTTAAGAGACCTTGCATGTACCTATGGCCACCAATAGTTTCTTCAACATAAGACTTAATATCAGCACGTGTTAAATGATGCAGATCTAACGATGGAAGTTCGCTGAAAGATGCAACGCAATCTGGAATAGGCCTACTCGAGACCACAATCTTGATATGAGGGTTCATAACAAGCTCTTTGAGAAAATCAATGCCATCGTGATAATTTCCCACGAACTCATCAAGCCCATCGATGAAAAAACAAAACTTGCAGATCTGTGGTGCCTTCGTCGCAAGTACCCGGAACGCATATTTAGTTTCGGTTACAGATGGCAAGCTTGCAGAAACGCTGTCGTCATAAAGTTGCTTCCACATATTTGGGAGGGCTTCGGGAATAAGATCCGGGTGCTCAGAAAGTATTTGATACAGAAGAGTTCTCGATAACCACTCCTGGGACTTTTGCTCATAAGTCCCCATATTGTAGAAGAAGTAGTGGGTTAGGAAGTATTGTGTGTCTCCAGCCCATCTAGAGAGAAGTTTCCTGGTTTGTTTGTGCTGGATTAAATGTTTCATCAGCGTTGACTTGCCACTCCCGGCCTTCCCAGAAACCCAGTAGATCCCCGAGCCAGATTGAAGCCATTCCGAGAGGTCATCCCATAGATATGTTCCCTGGGGTGGCTCAAGTACCCAGCGGAATGTTTTACAATGTGCTTTAGAAATAGACTCTCTCCTTTCATCGATAGTTCTGAACCATAACCCGTGAAGGATCTGCTCCTTACAAGTACGTGTAAGATGTTCCTCAGTCAATTCTGCGACTACTATTCTACCCCCAACCGATGCTTCGTGGACGAGTTTTAGTCCTCTGAGATTCCTAATAGTAGCAACATCCTGTTCCGTTGCACGGCGTGTGATCGCTCGATTGTCAAATATCGGGACAATCTGAGTAAGTTTCGTGGTAAAATGGGCCAACTCTTTAACCACTTCCTCGAACCTCGCCTTATCTCGAACAACCCATCGAATTCGCTTGCCTATTGTTGTTGTCTTGTCGCGTATATCACTTCGCAATTTCATTGCCTCGAATTCCCTGACGAACTTTGCCATTCGACGACCACTGATTATAGGCACGTAGTTGGTGTGCTCAGGAGCCCCAAACTCCGTACTATCAATAGGCCGGTATTCACCCTCCCTTTCTAGGCCATAACGATCCTTTAGTCGAGTTTCGTCGTTCATTAGAAGCTTGATGCATCCCAAAATACGAGTGATAGCCCATTGGGTAGTATGGTCGTTTAATCTTTGGTCATGGTCAGGCTGTAAGAGTTTCACCTGCTCGGACCATTGCAATAAAATCGTCCTCTCAATATCGAGCTTAGTCTCCAGTATTTCGTAGTCGCGGCCGAATTTTCGCGAGCTCATGAAATCATTAAAGAGATCTATAGCATCTCTAAACGCACCTATCACGCCCACAAGGCCGGCTACTCCCAAGACAAGCCCAGCGATCTCGGCCATCTCAGACGTGTGTCTAGTCGCTAAAACAACTTGATGAGATTTGAAAAGCAAGATACTCCGAGCAATAATTGAGGAAGGATAATCAGGGGGCTACATAATCTACGGGTTAAGTAATTATTGAGCTGCGGCAGAGAGCGTGGCAGGGAGCGTGGCATTGCTAAGAATCGACACTGTCGGCATGCCCAAGGCAGCCTTTATTGAGTAACGTCTTGGGCATCTTCGAGAGCATTGCCACAATGCGTATTGAATTATACAACACGTCGACTCTGCTATTCGCTAGAGCGAATATAAGTTTGGATTGTAATAGAATATATCATCGCTCTTTTCGGTATTAAGCCGACCAATGATTTTTCCAATGAGTCAATAGAAGCCCTAGAGCTGAGGATAAGATATCATTAGTGGCCCTTCAATGGCTTTGGATTTATATTGTACCTAAAAAGCCAATCTTATCTAGATACCTAGGTTAGTTATTCGAGAGGGTTAAAGACGTAGTAGCGTACCTGCCTACGCAGGAGTAAATAATGTTAGATATACCATCAACACTTTGCACGAAGCAATTATACACGAGTCGCATAACCCGTAAAGCATTTACCCAGCATAAAACAAGAGACACAAAGTCAAACGACCTCGATACGGGCAGCATGTCACAGCAACCAATCACCCCATCAAAAGACGCACTCAAAATCCTCTTTCAAACACCAAAATCTCATATTCACATTCACACATCTACAAACTTCCTAACACGCCTCGAAGAAGTCCCCAGCCTCTAACCCTTCAACTTCTCCAACAGCAACTTAGACCCCATATTCCCAACAGTCGGCTCCTTTTTCGGTCCAGCCTTCTTCCCCTTCTTCTTCTTATTCTTCTCCTCGGTACCCACCTCCTTAGCCGCCTTCTGCTCCGGCGTTTCCTCCGTCGCCGCTTTCTCGAGGGCCTTTTTGTTTTTCTTCAGCGTGCTTTTCAGTTCGCTTTTACTCGAGAAGTCTTCTGCTTCTAAGAGACTGAGCACGACGAATGAGCTAGGGCCTGTGGCCCATGCCATGATGTGGTCTTTGATGAAGGGGTACAAGATATCTGCGAAGTTGAGGGGTGGGTCGACGGGTATTATGCGCCGGGTCGCTTTGTCGAAGTGACCGCCTGCTATTAGGGTCTTGAACATGCGTCCGCCGTGGGGAGCTTTGGATATGTGCTCTACGGGGATGAGCTCAGCTTCTGATTCATCGGCTGGTGCATCTTCCTCGTTGGGGTTTCCAGTTGCGGTTGATGCTATTGCTTGTAACGCCTCGGATTTATCTCCGATGCAGGAAAGAAGAGCTTCGGTAACTAATTGAGACCCATGGGAAGTAGAGATCAAATCTAGCGGTGACGAGGCAATCGCAGAAAGCAGTTGTGGTGATAATGCTGTGACTAATTCCTTTCGACGGATCTCAGGGTCCTTCTTACTTGTTGTCTTTCGAATTTCCCACAGCTCCTCAAGGAGCTTCAGATCATCAGCGTGGCTAGCATCGAAGAGGACTTTCGATGCGCCCTCAAGAGGGTATCGTATTGTTAAGCGAGCATTCGGATCATTAGCGGCGATGACAACATTAGAAACTTCATTTTGTTCCGTCTTGCCTAGTAATTCCGTTATAATGGATTTGGAAGTTAAGACGGTATCATCAATTAGGTCGTAAGCGGCGAGAATAATCAAGTGACCATTCGGATCGCTCGACATAAGTTGGAAGGTATCTTTATATGTCTTTAGGATCTGTTTTCGGTCCTTAGCTGCTCCGTGGGCGAGAAGCAAGCACACAAGTCGAGCACCCGATTTCGTGAAAGCCATGTTCTTGAGTAGGTCGCCGTTCTCGTCTTCTTTAATCATTTCCATGTATTCTTTAGCTTCCTCGGTGTCTGGCTTCACATTGACGTAGTACTGATACATGGCGTCGTGTAGCATTGTAAACCCAGTCATCTTCTTTTGAATAAGTTGGTTGATTAGGTCGAGCAGATATCTCATGATCGGCCCCCGCTTACTTGGCTGTTCCTCAAGGATCTGAGAAAGTTCGGCCGTGGGGATGGTCTCGTCCGCCGACGTAGCTCGGAATATGTGGAACTCTGGCCCATACCATTCTCTTAACAGAATAGCCTTCTGCTCCTTAGTAGCAACGCCTCGGTAAATATCATCCAGGATCCAAGAAGCTTCGGGGTGGTTGATAAGTTTCCTAACTCTGCCGTAGAATTCTGGAACTATCATATCTCGAATCTCGTCATCGCCTTTCACCAGAAGCTTGCCAATTAAGAATTTGGCATACTTGCTTTCGGCTAGTATAGGATATGCACCCCTCAACTCCTTCGCAATCATCTTCCGTCGTTCAGGGGTCGCATACTTGATAGCGGTCTGTACGACACGGACAGAATCATGCTTGAGCACAAAGTCCTTCATACGACCTGTAGCAATGCTAAAGAGCTCCTCGACGAGTTTCTGCCGTTCATCTTTCGGAACTTTAGATTTTAACCGTAGTCTCTCCCAGAGCTTCTTTGTTCGTTGCAATTCATCAGCCAGGGGCTTTGCTGCTTTGCGCTCTTGGGCCAATTGCTTCTGCTTTATATGCGATTCGCGCGAGTTTTGACCTGCGTGTATAGAGTTAGCAAAATTCGGAATAATCATCTTGCTTTGACCAACCTTTTTCAAAGGTGTTTCCAGGTTGATTTCCATCAGGTTTTGACCGGAACGGTATATCATCATTTTGTTGCGAATTGACATTATTCAAAGCAGCACCGCCATCTTCTCGGTCCGAAAATTCGCTGATCTCGCTATCGTCGCTAACATCTTCTTCCGGCTCCTGTTTCCGCAACGGTTTCTTATCGAACTTGGGCTTCTTGCTTGAATATTCTTTGCTGCCATTGGTAAGCTTCCTTTTGCTTCCGAGCGCATCACCTTTGGGCGCCATTTTGAGGAGTTTAAATTTAAAACAGATGAAGTTTACAGCAGGTTATTCAATAGTGATAACCTAGCAGTACTTATCATGCAGTACTTTTATTTTATCCAAGTCTGCGAATCCCAGACCTAAAAAATATTTAGTGGAGCCCCTATAATGCCGGGCGGTGAAGGCGCAATTATCGAACTTTCACCCCGCGGCCCCACCTAAATCTAAAGCTACTAGCAATGCAAGACGGTAGCCGGTGGTGGGATTACGCCGGTACATACTACCTATAGAATAATACAAACTATAAAAAACCATGAACCTTTTTATAGAAGTCCCATCCTGTAAATAGACGCGTTTAACAGTTCTCCATGAGCCACCATGGGCCGAGAAGAACAAGTCGAAGAACGCGAAGTTCTCGACTCCATCTTCCCAGATGAAATCACAGGTCCGTGACTTTTAACTACCTATACCTATTCAACCCTCACAATTTCTATACTATACAATCTACCCCGCCATCATCACCAGTAAATTGACATAGTATTAAATATTAAATAATAATAATAATAATAAAGACATATCCGAGACCGAGTATCGCATATCCATAAAACTCGACCTCCCAGACGACAACAACGATGACGAAACAGACGAACCCCCCACCCTCGTCCTGCACGTGCGGTACCCAGACGACTACCCCGACGAGGCGCCCATCCTCGACCTCTCGCCGCCGCAAAACGCCGCCTCGCACCCGCACTTCTCCATCGCCTCCGACAAGGCGCAGCTGCTGAAAGGGCTCGAGGACGTCATCCAGGAGAATATGGGCATGGCCATGGTGTTCACGCTCGTCACGACGCTCAAGGAAGAAGCCGAGCAGCTGATCGCGGAGCGGCGCGCGGCCGCGGCTCAAGTGCACGAGGAAGCCATGCTGGCCGCGGAGCGCGAGGAGAATAAAAAGTTCCACGGCACGCCGGTGACCCCGGAGACGTTTCTGCAGTGGCGCGAGGGCTTCATCAAGGAGATGGAGGAGAAGCAGCGCCGGGAGGAAGAGGAGAAGCTCGCGGAGCTGAAGAAGGCTAAGGTGAAGGAGCCGGTGAGGTTGACGGGCAAGCAGCTCTGGGAGCGCGGCTTGGTGGGTAAGATTGACGAGGACGACGAGAGTATCCCCGTCGAGCAAGTTGAGAAGCTCAAGATTGAGGCATGAATAAATAAATAAGGAGGCAGATATGCGGATGATACAGTATTACCATCTCGGGACTATGATGAGCATCACTCATGGGTTTGGCGCAAATTAGGGGGAAAAAAAGAAAGCTTAGGTGGAAAAATCAGAGAGAATCGCCTCGCTTATGAACATGATATGGCATGATAAAAGCATCAATTACCCCTTTTTTAGATTTTCCTAACGCCATCCATGCCAGAACAAGATCCTTAGATCTCGTGGTATCTTCCATCTAGTTATAGTATCAAACGTTCCCTTTTCCTCCCTCCTTCCCTCTTTCACTACCATGGACAAACTACCTAGGTAATCAGTCCTTCATCTCATCATCGCTCCCCTCATCCTCGTCCTCCCAGTCCTCATCTTCGCCCTCGCCGGCCGGCGCCTCACCAAGCTCCTTAGCAATAAGACTTAATAATTCCTGCGCATGTTCTCCTAACCGCTCGTCCTCGTAGTCTTGAAGTTTATACAGATGCTGGCACTGGTTGAGCCACACGCGGCTCGATATCCACGACGCCTTCCAGTCCTCCTCGCTCGCCTTGGCCGCCTTCTGTTTCTCGCCCATGACGTAGAGACCCCAACCACCTAAATACCAGACCTCGACGCTTTGATCGTCCTCGCTAACCAGGCGCTCAAGGACTTCGATAGCCTCCTGCTCCATCTCAACTTCCATAAGCAGTCTCGCAAGCGCGACTCTGCTCGGGAAGTCGGGAACCGCAGGGTCTTCAGGCGGCAAATCCTTCCATAGCTCCAAGCTCCTCGTCAGCGCAGCCTTCGCATCATCGAACCTCTCCTGGGAAATCCGCACGTTGGCCAAAGTCTGCCAAGTCTCGGCGAAATCCGGCGCCACCATCGTCGCCTCCGTAACCAGAGTCTCGCATCTCTGCTCGGCGTCCTCCTCCCACGAGAGATCCGTCATGTAGACCTCCGTAACAGAGCACAGAGTCATAGCTAATTTCTTCTTGAGCTCGTCTAACAGGATAGTCTGCTCGTCGGTTCTCCGTCGCGCATTCTCCAGAGTCTGGATCTGTTTTCTGAGCGCCACGGCGCCCTTCTCGAACCACGTGACGCTGTCCTGGCCGCCCTCCTCGCTCAGCTGCGCCAAACATAGGAATTTCTCTGGCCCACCCCCGAAAGCTTCGTCTTTGGCGCCGTCGGCATCGATCGCGACGGCCTGCAGGAAATACGCCCGCGCGGCCTCGAATTCGCCTGCCTCGAGGTTAACCTGTCCGAGCAGGTTTAGCGCGGACAGCTCGTCATCCGAGCCTGTGGATGATTGCTCCAGCGCTTTCTCTGCTAGTGTAAGGGCATCTTGGACATTGCCTGCTTGTAATTGGTATTCGGCCGCCTTAACTAAAACTTCTGGGGTGACGGGCTTAGAAGCTCCGCCTGCTGCCCTGGATATCGCTGCCTTGTCTCGTTTTTTGGACTTCTTATCAGGTCGCCTTGGCGCCATAATGTGAGGTAATAACAATTGAAGATACCTTCGAAAAACAGGACTCAGAAAAGTTAAAGTTGAGCTGCTGCGCTCACAATTGAAACGAATGTAGGTCGTAGGTGATTTCGATGAAAATTAATCGATAATGCCGATAAGACCAAATATTTTAGTCTTATCAGGTTGTGTTTTAATTACTGACGTGGGGTCGGCCGTCGAAGTTACGAAGTTGGCGGGGATGCATCTAAACCTCTCTTATTGAATAATACCTGCTTATCATATCTCTTCTTTAATTGAACAAGATATAAATCTTAAGTTCCAAGAGTGAAATATATTCACATTTTGAGAAGAAAAAATTTATGCGTGATTCCAGGCAAGATATTATATCGTATTTAAGCCATTACGAGCTGATATCTTATTCTTCATATCAGATGTATAACATACCATACCATTACCATTGTAACTCATTACCCGTTTTCTCCCATGGCCGCCCACATTTCCCGGCTTTAACTGTTCTATCTGTCCCTTGTTCCTGACCACCTATGAGCCCGGTACGGTGGAAGCGAGCGACTGAACCTGAAATTACTGAACAAGGGGCAAGCGACCGCTCAGATATCATAATGCCCTTCCTATACCACCTAAACGCCGTAAATCTATGCATGTTGTGTTGATCTCATTCATTCGTACGGGACATTACTGCATCTCTTGCTCTTCGATCGACTGTCTGGATTTGGGTCGCTCAATGTTGCCCAATTCTGACCCTTGGCCGCTTTGCGCTCTTTTGCGCCCGGGGATAAACCGAGACATTCCTAGCCCTTGCGTATGCACTGGAGATTCTTGCGACTCGGAAAACTTGGCGAAGAATCCCCTCTTCTTCGGTTGCTTCTGATCATCGTTTAGTCCGACATCCTCGAAACCCTCTTCGGCGGTTGGCGGATCCCAGGGACGGTTTCTGACAGAGATCCTCGGTGATCGAGGAAATCGGGCGGAATCAAGACTTTGGCGCTGTTGATCGTGGCCCAAGACTGGCGACCTAGCAGAAATATCCTTCAGATGCTGTTAGTTGAGAGTATAAATATATGGTAAGTAGAAATGTGACATACAAAAGACCGGCGGTAAGAATCGAAAGATTCGCGAGAAATAGAGAAGTGTTCAATATCGCCAAAGCTACTACGGGTGTCCATGGATGTTCGAGACGCAGCCGAACGTCTCGGCCACAAAGCCTTGTCTTCCGTTGGCGAAGGCTAAGACATTAGTCAGTAACCAGAATACCTTTTTTTTCTTGCACGGGAGGTTAATTCATACCGGGAGATAGACTCCGCTATCGTTTACCACTATAATTAAAAGTCAGGCTATGTTCTCCCGGGCGCAAGGTTCCAAGGCGCAGGACATACCGCTCATCTTGTAATCTCCGGTGTCCCGACTCTTGGTGCTCCGGATGCTTAAAGAAGAAGACGCCTTGGATCCAATTGTATCGACCTTTTCAAATCCAGCTTGCGGGGAAATCAATGCGCCGGGCCGGACATTCTCATCCTTGATCTCGAGGTTGAGCACGCCGGGACGTCTCGCGAAAGGGTTACGGATTGGCATTGTCGGGGATATCCTTGCGCTAAATAAAAAGCGATAGTAATTAAATTGATTCGAGGCAATTTAGTCAAGACAGACGCATTGAGCGAATTTGAATAGTGGAAGTAAGGAAAAGTAGGAAAGTTGTGTAAGTGTTAATTGACGATTGACGATTAACGATTAAGATTGATCGCAATTGGGGATTTGATGGAGTGGAATTGGAATCGCGGGAATAGTAAGTACAAATCGGGTCGGACCTTTCCTAACTTTAGATTACTTGACTGCTTTAAACCGTACGACCAGGGATTTTCATAAGAGACGGAAACAGGAAAGGACAAGCCCCGGATGCCGGATAGGCGATGCTAGGTGGGCGGTGGACGGTGGGGACTTTTTGCGCGAGGTTGAGTCTTTTCTTAGGAGGTAAGTACCTTTTTAATTTAGATCATTACTCGCGACTATAGCCATGTACAACTCTACTCTTTTTTTTTTCCTCTCGCCCTCTAAAAATCAAAGAACATGACCAAAGTTGAATTTAATTTAAAGACTAAAATGACGATCGTATGGATACAAATTATTTAGATCGTTTACGTGGACTACGCCTTTTGGAATGGTTTGTGGGGCATCCCTGTCTTCCCTGTTCCTCGGGCTTACATACAACAAACCTGCAACCTACAATAATTCCAGTTTTTCTTTCAACTTGTACCTATTCTTGGCTATCCTATCCGACAGGACCTGCATCATCCATTTGCTTTCCGTGCTTCTTGGGTCCCTTCTTGCAGCAACGGGGTATCGATCAGCATCCCAATCTAGTAACCACTTAGTATTCTTTGGGTTATCTATACATATCTATACACATCTAACTTTTCTATTTATCGTGAAAAATACCTAACGACATGCCGAGGTACCCGAAGTTCTACAATGACGTTGACGTATATCATTGTTGGGTACATACAGTAATAAGTAAGATTCCTTTGGGAAGATCTACAGATGGCGATGCATATAGCCTTTCTTTAATAGGATCAACCGACAGTCTCGGCCGCGTCTAGCACTTCTTCTATTTGCCACCCGCAAATCTGGGTATAAGCACTAGACATTTAGGTTAGTTCACTCGGCTAGATGATGCTATACTTAATAGGCTGAGCAAACACAAAGCCAGCCGCACCTAGGTTTTAGGAGTAGGCCAGTTCCTGATAATAAGAATAATAGAAAACCATAGGAGAAAGAATGTAAATTAGTTGATTGGCTCCCTTATCTCCGGGTCACATGCTATGTCGCCATGAATCGACAACGGATTCCCGCATACAGCCCACATATTGTTGCCGGAATCCGGGGACCTGACCCAAAACCTTATCTCTTTGTCCTTGTCCCTGTTCAATAGTCCGGGACGAGTCTCGAATTCATTACTCGATACTTTAAATATACTTTCATCTTCTAATAAATGTTAAACGAAACGCTTCACGTTAGTTTTCAACACTAATAAAACGAGAACGCCGATATTAGACCGATATGCGACTCAGAATACACGCTACTATGCATATACATGAATTGTTTCAAATACGGGATGCGAGGCCATATATACAGCGGTAACATTTTATCGTTTCATAAACTCATCGCTAGTTGAATACAACAGTCTTATGCCCGTTCAAAAATACACGCTTCTCGCTCCACCACTTGACAGCTGCAGCCAAGACCTGGCTCTCGACATTGCTTCCCTCCTCGACCAACTCCTTAGGGCTCATGCTGTGGTCAACGCGCGCGACTCTCTGCTCGATGATCGGGCCCTCGTCTAGATCCGCCGTGACGAAATGCGCCGTGGCACCAATGATCTTGACGCCGCGCTCGTAGGCCTGGTGGTACGGCTTTGCCCCCTTGAACGACGGTAAGAAGCTGTGGTGGATGTTGATGATCTTGCCGCTCATCGCTGAGCACAGTCCAGGACTTAGGACCTGCATATAGCGTGCCAGCACCACCAGGTCGATATTTTCCTGCTTAATCAGGTCTAGAATCTGGCGTTCTTGTTCAAGCTTCGTCTCCTTGGTTACGGGGAGATGGTGGAATGCGATCCCGTAGCTCTCGGCTAGGGGCTTAAAGTCCGGGTGATTGGAGACTATTAAGGGGATCTCAATGCCCAGCTGGTTTGACTTGGCCCTGAATAATAAGTCATTCAGACAGTGTCCAATTTTAGACACCATGATCAAGACCCTGGGCTTCTGGCTCGTCGACCGTAAGTCGTACTGGTCCATCTCCATTTCCGCCGCGAGCTTCGCCATTGGCTCATCTAAGTTAGCCGTTGACTCAGCATGGCCAAAACGGACTCTCATGAAAAACTTCTTAGACGTCCGGTCTGAGAATTGTTGTAAGTCTAGAATATTGAGACCATGGTTTGCCAAGAGGCCAGTGACGGCGTGAACGATGCCAGGCTTGTCCGGGCATGACAGCGTAAGGATATGATCATCGTTTGAAGCCATTATTTCTCGATTCCCTTGAAGACAGATTTCACATCAAAATTTTGTATTTTGCCAATGACATGACTAATTCTTCCACACACCGGATGTAGTGACTCTTTAGTAGTCTCGGCTGGAGATCGGGCTCGGTATAAATGCATAGCGTTTTTGCATATAACTAGTCTAAATATGCGATAAAAAGAGGCCACATGGAACTACGGTCTATCTTACGTATAAGTCGCCCTCTTGGTCATATTAGATAAATTTCTTAAGGTCATGTTATAATCTTGCTCAGTTTATAATTCGTCGGTATAGCCTTGTAATGTAAGTGAGATGATCTTCTTGTCTTATATAGTATTCGACAGCATTTGGCGGCTCTGATGTCAGCTAAGCTTTATACAATGGAGGAAATGAAATGCGGGCATATATACTGCGTAAGATCATAGAGAAAAGACAGCAAGTGCTAATTGGTCTTGGGTTAATTAGTTTCAACGCGCCTAGTCAACAGGATCTCCAGAGACTATATAAATCTATCGGCACCTAAGACACTAATAGGCTTGGTGTGCGTGGCTTCGATAGTGAATGAAGGCTTAACTATTTGAGCCTCAGTCTCAGAATGAATACATACAATACATACTATACCCATGTACGTACCTGTTAGATAATCCATCTGCTTACATGTGTTACCGGCGGCTAGCATCTTCCTCCAGGGTCTAGTTCTTAGATGCGGCACTTGATCCTTGAATTCTTCAATAGGATATAATAGATCGGGTTTCCAGAATCGATCTCGCAGTTTAGCGGCATGAAAATCTCCCGCACTTATTATATACCACTTAGATAGACAGAGTAAAATGCCCAGGAAGAATTGCTGCGTTACGCTATCCCGGAAAGGCGAGCCGTATTTCAGCTACCCAAAGTTACCATTTTGCCGGATGCGGGAACGTACATAATGTATATTGATTTCTGAGCAATCACGTCGGGTAGATTTTATTGGCTAATAACTTCTCGCCCATTCTACCTTTCGACCTTGTGCTACGATATTTTTAACCTTATGACTTAGACATAAATTTTTGTAGGCGGGGATCGGCGTGGTAGGGCGTGGCATATCCCGGCTTATACACAAGCCATCCGACAAAGCAAAAATTGGTTCCATTACCAGAACGTCAGGTCCGCCCGATCGGGTTGTCAGATGCGCACCTGCGATGATATTAGATCAGAGTCTATTAGAACTTACATATGCGTTCTTAGCTAGGGGGGTTTTGCCAGCACAACACGACCAACATCGCCAAGTCGCCGCTAATGCCCGTAGACTTCGTATTCTTACCACCAATGCCGATTCGTCTGCAAGGGATAATTGAATCAAGACTGATTGAAGTTAGGGAGAAGAAAAATAAAAAACATTACTTACAATACCCTAAAACAATATGGTTTCATTGTGGAAATTGATGGCTGCTAGCAACTTGCGCAGGGGGTACGTATGCTTTATTTTATCTATCGATCCATTTCGACTTTGTCCTGGACCATGGGCCATGCTAGAACTTCGCTTCCGGTTAAATAAAGTCCATACCTGAATCCTAACGCCTGTCCCCTAGCTCAGGAGCGTATGCGGTAGGGTGCTCACCGGCGACCTGCAGCTGTTGGTGATACGCTGGCACCGTGACGTGATCAATTAACTAACACCGTGCTTTCAGATAGGCGCGCAAAAGCTCAACTGGCTTATACCGATCCATCTTGTTGCACAGAACGTCGTAAAAATGGATCTATGTCTAGAGCAATGATGCAAGCTAAACCCGGATTGCTAGGTTTTCCACGCCACCTAGGGCCACGGGGTTCATCTTAGACGCTGGACTCGGACTGTATTGAATGTATTGAATATCCACGATGTCCTCCGCACGCCACTAGTACCATGCGTTAGGGGCGTGTTGCATCCATACGCCATCACGTTTGCTAAGACAAATACTCCCCAATAAGCTAGGTACCGTACCTTTGTCAAAGCACAGCTCTGGTCTTGTTCCAAAGATAGTAGATAGCTCTGTTTATATGCAAGTGTTAGCGGGTACCTGTGCCTTCTGTCAAAATATCGATGAATTATGCTGCTGGTATCCGTAGTGCCGTATCTGACCTGCGGAGTAACCATAAAGTTTTATATCCGTAGAAGCGCCCTCCGTTTGACCGCCTGCAAGTAAGAAAATTCAAAAATTATCGATCCTTTCTACCGTCTGCGTTAGGTATATTCATCGTGTATTCGTTTTGCCTTTTGCGCTGCGTGCTCTGGATCCGCCGATTCTGTCCCCTGGTCTTAAGAACGCGCGTTGTTCTATACCGGCTATATTCAATTACCTCTGGCTAGAACACCACTGGACAAGGACCTCCAATTAATATACTAGTTCTCGGTCCTATAGTTAGCCTCACGTTCGTAAGTTCGGGAAGTCTATTCGCAACTCCCACAGCAATCCGGCTTCGAGTGTGAAGAAGAGGGAAGACTGTGTAAGGCATTTACACAGACCTGTCCTCGAGATATATCGGCTGGTCCTCGTCGTAAGGTTACCTCAACTGTCGACTCTTCTCCTGTACCAGCTTAGGAAACGTTGCAAAGGGTGATCGACATTAGGTGGGCACTTCCGTTCACGTTCAGCTCTTCCGCCCTGCGATCTTCAGCTGCGTCCATCTATAGGAGGCTCCCATTCGTCCCGGAGTATCATATTATCGACGGTACACAACGTCGAAAAAGTCTCCTCGTATTCCGTTGCGGGTGCACAGCTAAGAGAACCGGTTTTAACGGTCATTTCCGCGCGAACCTTATGATCAACTCATTTTGTAACAATCCTTTCGGTTACTTGTCTTCGGATATCACGAAATAAGATCAAGAAAATTGAAACGACGAAATTCGTACTTACCGGACTTAAAAATAACAAAGTTAATTTGTCGGTAAAGCGTTCTTACCTCGACTACGACTTCCCTCCTTATTTAAAACGCATTAAAGGGGTCCGAGCCGTGCCTCCCCTCTACCTAAAAAGAGAAAACGTCGACTGGATTTGAATTTGAATGTGCATGTAGATGTACTTCTGGTCGACCTAAACATTCGTTCGGCGCTTCACCAACGCTCGTTCCTCCTTACATCATTTTTACCTCTTCTTTTCGTTCTTCTTCATTCCAGTATTTGAACATTCGTTTCTCTCCTCTGCCCCTCGTCGGTGTAATTGGATCACATCATCCATCATTCGTTTTTTTTTTCTTCTGCTTTGGATAATTTGACTTGGACATCATCTATCCTAAAAGCATCTCAAAATGATCAAGTTTTTCATCAACTGGGAATTATGGCAGCAGATGACCTTCGTAAGTTACTTACTCCGTAGCCCCTATCCCTCTATCTCGCTAATACCAAAGTAAAGGTTCTCGCCGGTGCGATCGTCTTGGTATTCTTTGCTGGATTAATTAAGTTGTGGTGGTTGAATAGATTTATCAAGAAGCATACAATACTTGACCTAGAAAAGAAGGCCAGGCAACAGGAGATGCAAAGGAGCGGTCTTCCGATAGGCAAGAAGGTGGATATTCCATTCGGCGTGCGCGCAATTCAGAGCGGTATCGAAGTTGACGGCATTTGGATCTCACGGCCTAATACTCCGCTCATTACTCCAACCAGTCCGTCATTCGCTTCTTCGTCAACTCTCGAACCCGAAAGCAGGTTAAAAGGGAAGGAGAAGGAACTTGCCGTGCATACAGCAACGACAGTTATCGAAATTGGGCCCACTCCCGAACAAAGTCCGCTACCGAGTCCTGCCGTTAGCTTGTCTGATCGGCGCGTCCCGACCGCGGCAGAACATAGCCACACTAGAGCATTCCCTCCCGGTGCGCAGTCTACTTACCGACCAAAGGGTCCATCGCGCCGCCGAACGGATATTACCGAAACCTTCGACGTGGACGGATTAAACCGATATGAACGTAACGCAGCCAACCATCAGCAAGTCGAAACATATGTCCCTAAGCACTCGTTCTCTAGCACGGAATCGTCATCGCTATCCTCCCAACAAAGGACAGTAGTAGACCGCAGCTCGACTTCTTCGGAAGAAGGTATCCGCCATGCACAAACACGTTATGTATCTCGCCTCCGACACTCCGCGTTACCTACACCCCGAACCCTAGTTTCTTTTGAGGACCCAGAACCTTCGGCAGCCACTGTGGACTATTTCTTGTATCCTGAGCAGAGGAGAAATCCTTTCGACACGCCTTCGTCTTCCGAGGCGCAATCAGTTTCTCGTCCTCCGCTAGCTTCAAATAGACCGACACCTCATCGGTCCTACTCTGGCGAGTCACACGCAAACACGTCAACCAGAAGAGTTAACGCGGGGTTTGAAGTGCTACCAGCCGGGACCTTTAGCCGACCTGACAGCCAAACCGAGACAGACGAGAGCCAGTCTAAGAGGCATAGTAATAATAAGCTTCAGAAGAAGACTCGTGATCGGTCATCAAGGGAGACACCGTCGCCAACATGATAAATCAGTGTACATAAAGGGCGTAGAATAGAAAGGAGAGCATGATGTTGCTGATGTTGGCACCCCACACACAAGCGTTGTTCCTCGAACATTGTTGCTCGAGCGTCAATAACACGTTACACACGAAAAGAATGTAGATAGATTTTTGCTCAAGCGAACCTAGGGTAGTTGCATGGAGGCAAGACGGGAGGGGGATACCGGCATTCATATCGGCGTTGGTTTATACAGGGAGGGGAAGAGTAGGACGGGGCAAGAAAATAATCTGGGGGAGTATGTAATTGACTTTGAATCCGAAACCTTTTTTGTATACCCAACGTTAAAAGGGAGGGGGATATCTGTTGCTGCGCTAGCGTTATGATAGTTACCTTAGGTATGATTAATGCACAGCGCTTGGTTACATGTATGACAGTGAAACGAAACTTTGTATACCCAATACAGAGCAATTTGGTATCCTTCACTTGACTCAGTTGTTTGCTTTCATGGCTGACTTACAATGAAAGAGTGAAGAGGATGAGGATATGTATTGAGATATTGAGCATGAGAAAAAAAAAGGGGTGTCGTCCACTTTTCATACACTAGGCGCTCCGCATTCCGTCGATCGAAGGCCGTCGGCTGGGACTTGGACAACCACCTATTCGAAATAAAAGTTAAAAGACGTAAGAGGGAATTGGCCACTGCTCTCTCAATTGTAGTATACATAGGTATATATAAAGACATAGCCTACTTAGTATGTAGGACTGACCTGGCGCTTTGGTCAGATGGGCGTCCGCCGTCAGCTCATCGCCGCGCTAATCACGAGCTGGATCGCCACCCCTGTTAGATCTACCATGGCATTCCTGGTTGGCGGGTCGAGGCTGCTAGTGCTAGTGCTAGGCTAGACCGTTGGAAAGTTAGTCATATTGTACTCATAATGGAGGATATTCTACTTTTGCAGCTTTGATTGAGTGTGTATGTGTATGTATTAGAGCAAAGCTGCCTTACATCTAAGGCTGCCATTCAACCTTGAAATACAAATGCTACGGAATAAAGCATAAAAATAGGACGAAATAAGCTCCAAGCATGCAGTTATCCCCTTTCGAAACGCCAAAGCCATGCATGCCACTTATATAGAAGCCCAGTCAGTCATATCCCGTAGTCATTTCCTTCGTTCCCTTCCAAACGGTGTCTACACTAAGGACCGCCCATCCTATTAACGCTGGGGCGGCCTACCTACTAATACAACATTATTCCTTATCCATATCCTTAGGCGCCGGGTCCCCGATACCGTCCTCTTTGATCGCAAACAGACAATCGCTTTCGGGCAAGCAGGGGCTGTCGTAAATCTTGGCGATACGGGTCTCAGCGCGGCCCTTCTTCAGACTGACTCGCGTGGTGCTGGCGTGCGCGATAATGTTGCCGCCGATCGGCTTCTTGGGGTCCGGGTTGAACATTGCGGATGGGCCGCCGTCGACTTGCGCTACGACCTGATTGGTGATGACAACAGCGATACCGAATTCGTCCGCTAGTCTTTGTAGCGTGCGCATGAATTTGGCCAAGTGGGTTTGTCGAGAGGACAGCTCTCCTCGGCCGAGGAAGTCTGTTCGGTAGAGGGAGGTGGCGCTGTCTACGATGAGCAAGGAAAACCGGGTCTCACACATCATCGTGGCGGCTTGGGTTAACAGTTGCAGCTGGTGGTCTGAGTTGTAGGCTCGCGCGTAGGCGACGTTGTCGAGGACTTCCTCGCCGGATAGGCCGTAGCGATTGGCCACGGCGAGAAGTCGTACTGGTCTGAATGTACCTTCTGTGTCGATGTACAGACATTTGCCTTCGCCGCCGCCCATGTCGAAGGGCAGTTGACACGTGACTGCGAGTGTATGGCAGATCTGACTTTTTCCGGTACGGAACTCGCCAAAGAGCTCTGTCACCGAGCCGGTCTCGACACCACCGGCTAGTAGAGTGTCTAGATTCTTCGATCCCGTAGTGATAGAAATCAGCTCACTTCTTCGCTGATGCATCTCTGTAGCGGTTGTGAAGCCCATGGGAACCAATTTGGATGCTAATTAATGTTAGATGATTTTCTGAGATACAATCGCCTGGGTATATAGAAATTTACCTTCTCCGAGGACTTTCTGTGCCTTTTGCTCTGATATACCTTTAACCAGCTCTAAGGTACGTCTTGGTGTGTAAGCAACTGCTTCGACAGTTTGATACCCTCCATCAGCCAAAAGCTGACAGTCACGCTTTGTCAAGCCTGAAAGGCCCTGTTGTAAGGTTAGCTACCTTACAAGTCTAATACTGTATCTCTTAGAATGAGTTGTATCTTACCTCTAGAGCAAAGATGGGCGTTGGAGCCCCAGGGCCAGTCACACCACCACTCTCCTCCGCTCCATCCTCATATTCCTCTGCCATATTTGCGATTTATAGGTGCTCAACTTGACTGAATATAAATGGAAGATAAGAGTAAGAGAGAGTGAATGTATGTAAACTTGGACCGAGAAGACTTCATAAACGCGTTAAACGCGAAATGTGGCGAGAAAACAAATGGAAATCGCGGAAGCACGTGAGTATAATTTATCAATTTAACTCGGATTTAGTTGGTATGTACCCACTATTAGCTGCAGGCAGGCGGCCCCCACAGCAACTTTATTGGTACTTTCGTACTTTCGTACTTTCGTAGCTCTCAGCAACCACCAACTTTATCGATAAGCTCAGTTTGGCCAGTAACTTCTTCAAGTTGTTTTGAAGCTCTGAATTCCTCGTTGCGCGTCATTCACAAAACATAACTATCTTGACGACATCAATTTTCCTCCGAGGGTCGCATTTCAGCATGGCGGCCGCTGTGTATTCCTACAAGGAAACGCGCCTGAACTTGGAACCATCATCAAGCTCGTACATTGTTGATGTCGAGCTCCCTACCACCAGTTTCCAGGGACGGAGCCAGCGTGCCAGCAGATCAGCCAAAGCAATCGCTAAGAAAGATGCTTCTCGAGCTACGACCTCTGCCATCTACTACCGAAAACACCATAGCTCTCCCAAAGGATTTCTTTGGCGAGTCCTTGAAGGCGATACCGTTTTAAGCATCCGAACCGTCGATCTCTATAAACCGAAGAAGGCTGTCGACGCAAACCTCATCCTCAACTTCCACTTCCAGCATCCTATTATACCTAGCTGCGTTGCTCTTTGCGATCCCCCGGACCACGATGCGCTTAGTATATTTATCCTCGATACTGCCAGTCAGCTATACACTCTCTTCTTGAGGCCAGACTCTTTCCGCAAGCGTTCGTTTGTCGAAACGGGACTTGGAGATGCCTGCAAGATTTACCAGCCGAATGCGTTCCGCAACTTCAAGCATCCATATAGACTTGTTGCAGTCGATAATGACCAACTAGTCGCGACTCTTTCTGATGGTGGCCATATACGTTTTGATAGGAATACGGGACATAATGGTTTGTTTGGTACCCATTTTGTTTGCAAGTTGTATACTTAACATTGTTTCTAGCCGTACACTCGCCCTGGAAAGAGACATTTTATAATGCGAAGGGTTGGTTACGAAGTTTGTTGGGAGGTCGCGGAGATCTAGACATCAAGGCTGCGGCAGCTGCAGTTCACACCGATCTAGGACTTAACAGTGCCTCGTTCCTTTTCACAGTCTGCCTCGATCATCGATTACGAATTTGGAATCTTAATAGCGGACAGATCCTCGGAGCTGTAGACCTACTTAACTCCGACAGAGACCCCCAGGAGACGGGGAAGTGGCAGATAGATGCGACGCAGGCGAACCTGATCCGTATCGTGGGCACCACCGAGGGCAAACGCCTACTCGTAACATATTCTCCCGTCGGCCCTGGCGAGTTTAAGTTTTGGATGCTGAGGTCCGATAATGCCAACTCCGTTGATGCGGATGATCTCTATCCTGACTATGAGTTGGTACCTAATCCTCCTCTTGGCTCGGATGTCTGGACTCTTGCAGATTTCAGTGTGGCAGAACATTCATCATCCGGAGTATACAGGATGTGGCTTTTATGGAAGAATAATATGGCGTACCGAGTCCAGGAGTTGACATTCTTAGTAGATGAACTCATCGAAGTCTGGCAGGACCGTTGGCGATCCGTATACGCTGATACTGATGTACCGACAGCACCATTATCTAGCCCGTCCGATTCTACAGACCCTACAGAAAAATGGCTACAGTTAATATTCTTCCCCGGAAGATTCCCTAGGGCAACTGTGGAGGCTGCGCTCGGTGCTTACGAGGGAGCGATTGGAAGACAGAGTAACGTCGCGTCTCGCAATGGAACAGGCCTCGCTGAGTCAATTTGCTCCGCCATCGCATCAACCTCGTCCCTTAATAAGTCATCATCAGGTGACATGGATCATGAACAGTTTAGAACCTCGAGTGAGATGCAGTGGCGGAAATTCTACAGGATTTTACTCGAGCTAGACAAACCTAGAGGTGAAGCCTTATCATTTTCTTACGATGGGGAGTCGGGTATGCCATGGGTCGTATGCGCCGATAGCATCTCTGCTATCAGAGAATGCAGCAAGTTGGAGCATATACGTCACAATCCACAGATAGAGTATGAAGGGTCGAATGAGGTTCCAACTCTTGTCATCTCCGGTACTAATTTCGTCGCGGGTTTCTCGGACAGCATGTTGGAAATATGCCATTCCGTCATCCGCCCAGAGATGCTAGAAGAGTCGTCTAAGTCAGATCAGGAACGACTTCAGTTCGTTTCAGACAAGACAGGATTCTGGCGCCAAATCTCTGACGAAGACGCCACCCAGGTGACTGATGCGCTTGGTCCAAACTTCAACGTAGTTACAACGCAACTATGCGATAGAGTACTTGCGACGTGTAACGAATGTTGGAATTCCCCACATCCCACTGAGCTTCCCCTAACGGAGTTTGGGCGAAAAGTCGTCGTCAAGGCAACCCAAGACTTAGTCGAGGTACAATGGAACGTTAGCTTTAGCCAGCTGATCCTCCTCGTCCACATGGAATTCGAATTCGATCGTCCTGAGGATGCTCTACATAACCATGTTGAGGTTGGTGTGATATACAGAAACTTGCTCGTTATACTTAAACGACTCGAACTCCTTCGATGGCTCGTCAATACCCAGCTGACAGCATCACTCGCGAGAGCAGATAGATCGAATTCGGTGTCTGACACTTCCCCCGTAGCCCCGAAGCGACAGGCTGAAGAGTATAGAATTCTCACCGCGCTCGAGGGCAATGTAGGGCACCTTCTCGGAGTACCCGAACCCGGATCATTACCTTCGGGGGGAGTACCCTCAATAATCACGCACATCGCCGCAGACCTCTGTGCTCCCGCTAGTAACGTGGAGTTACAACCTCAATATATTCAGTGTGGTCTGCTTATTAGAGACAGGGCGGATCTTGCTATTGAGTTGAGTCCATTCTGCGAGCAAGATCCCTTCTCAACTTATGTGCAAGGGCGTGTACATCTTGCTCTGAAGGACTTTACGACTGCAGCCACCTATTTTAAGAGGGCCGCATATGGCATGAGTGAGTAGTTATCGATAGAACCCAAGAAACGTACCTAAGCTAATGGTTCATATAGGTCTGCCTCAGGCGAACCCCGAAAGGCACAGCAGTGGTCTCCTTGATGAGACAGAATGGAACCTACTGTTTGCAGGATTACCACGATATTACGCTCACATAGTAGCTCTCTATGAACACCAGAAGGCTTATTCGTTTGTTATCGATTTTGCTCGTCTCGCTCTCCAGTTCGTAAACGCGAACACCGAAGATGCTAGCAAGGTCCGAACGGAGATACAATTGCGTCTCTTTAGCGGTGCTCTATCCACTTCGCAATTTGAGTTGGCCCACTCAACGATCGTGGCGATAAAGGATCATGCTTTACAGCATTCATGCTTACAGGCGCTTATCCAGAGGATGTGTGATAACCTCCACAACTCAGAACTAGTCAACCTTACATTCCCGGGCCTGCAAGGTGCCGTCGACGATATACTTGCGCAACACTGCCGAGACACGATAGACGTCATCACCGGCGTGCCATATCACCAGATCCTCTATGCTTGGCGCATCAAGCGAAACGACTACCGCGGTGCCGCCGCAATCCTACTTGATCGAATCCAGAAGCTTAGGCAGCTCGGAGAAGGCGATCAAGTTACGGGTGAAGATATTCTTGATACGGCAGTAACGAGGCAGTATCTAATGTTAATTAACGTCCTAAGCTGCGTAGATTCAAAGCAGGCATGGATTACGACCGAGGGGCCACCGCGCCCAATTAAGCTCGGCGAACGAGACAGCCTCTCTAAGCGCAAGGTAGTTACGTTAGCTGACATTCGTAAGGAATATCAAAACGAACTCGACCGCATTGCTGCGATCCACAACGACCAGTTTGGGTTTACGGCGGACGACGAGATGGAGATCCTGTGATGTGAGGATATCAAAGAATGAGCGCAAATGTACAACATAGGGTGTTTTTACTAGATGATACCTCCTGAGCTTTCAGATATAGACCTCAGGTTACCCTACCCACAGAACTTCGCGACAGGAATAGGAATAGGTAAAAGGCGAATTGTAATGGATTGACGGATGAATTGACTGATTTGATTGATTGAACTATTATAACCCTCATGAGCAACATAACGCCTTGGCTCTTTCTGACTCAATCACATGATGCCAACTATCAAAGACCAAAGACCACTTAAACGCCGTGCCTGTAGTCAATGCTCGACCTCGCGGGGGGTGAGTTGGTAGTAATAGTAATAATAATAATGTACAGAGAATTGGTTTTTAACGTGACAGCGACATGGCAAGTAACTTTGTAGATAACCGTAATAATAATGATGACGATACGCAGTAAAACAACAAGATTACAATACCCCCGGTTCTATGCTACGCTTGGGCAGTTAAGGCCATGGGGGGACGCGTGGACTCGGGGACAGAGACGACGCCTTGAGACTCGACGGCGTCGCCGGGTGCTTGCCGATATAGGATTATTTCCGACTGCTTGAAGTAGCGCCGCGCATCCTCGTCGATGAGGACTAGGCTTAGGTAATACCGCGTAGAGAACTTCTTGTTCACGTCCCGGAAGGTGGGTGTTAGGTCGAAGCCGCCTAGGAATAGTCGGATGGGAATGGTTTCGCCGCGGGAGGGGGAGCCGTCCATTATCTGTGGAGGGGGTTTGGTTAGCTGGTTGGTTTTTATATTGGATGGGCTGTGTATTGTAAGAGGAGGGAAAAGGGGGGCTCACTTCGAAGCGCACTAGGGTCTCGCTCTCGTTGTACTGGTTGGGTGCGGCGCCGGTGGTCTCCCTCCGAATAATGCTGAGCTCCATGTGCTTGATCTTGAGGCGGACGAGGAGGAAGTATATCCGGCCGACAATAACGTCCTTAAGGTGGTATTTGGACTTGGAGTACTCAAACTCGATGTGTAGGCAGTCCTCGATACCGACGTCCATCTTAATAGAGGAGTTCATCTCAGGGGGTACGCGGTAGCTGTAAACCCAAAGGTCCTTCTCGCGGATAACGTCGGCCATGCGGCGGGCGACGGTGACACGCACAAAGTACCGTAACTTGACGTTGATACCATTGTAGGACTCGTACTGCTTCTCGACATTCTTGAAGTTGAAGTCGAAGGTCTGGGGGTGTTGCAGCTCGCCCGGCGCGGCGAGCTCTTGGTTTAGAGAGAGGAATTCGTAGTGGTTGCCGCGGTCGAAGAACATCTCTATGGTGCCGATGAACTGAACCTTGATACCGGTGTGTTCCAGGCGCTTGCCGTCCTTGGGGCGCACGGTGACTTGGCCTTTGACGGACTCCCCGTCCATATACAGCGGCGCCTTCTCGCGGCGCTGCTTTTCCCGTATGTCCACCACTTGACGGTCATCGCTATCTTCGAGCACTATGTCGATGTCCACCGGCGTGGCGAAGAAGTACGACATGTTGGGCGGGTTTTCGAGTGCGGAAGGGGAGGAATTGGGGCCGTTGGAAGTCGTCGTATGGCTTGCGAGTTGTTGAAATACTTATTATTCTCCTGCCTTGCGGCCCCACATTTCATTCGTCAGTTAATTGGGACGAGAGGCAGAGTGGAAGAGCGGGATTCAGCGGCGTTCAGGTAAAATTCATGTGGCTCGAGCTTCAGCTTCAGCCTCAAATTTTCAATTATGGAATGGACCCTAAAGATGGGTAAGCCACTACAGCCACAGATCTATGCCACAATATAGCCCCGCTGCTGTAGCCCTAATGGAACGAACTTAACAAAAGTACCTTGTACTGAAATTCTGGCACTTACCCCAATCTAAGCTTAGCGACTGGCCGCACAACGAATTTCCTCAATTGATTGAATTTTTGACTTTGGCTCTGGAGACTTTTTTCCCCGTTCAAGACGACATCACATTCAGGTACGTTAGAGCTCAGCGCACGATACCCTTCATGATTAATTCATTTCTATTTTTCATTTAATCAACCAGCATTGCAACTGCTGGTATTTAAGATCTAACAATTTACTCACGGTTTCAATTTCTTCAGGTCCATTTCTCCCCCCGCTATACCCTTACCTGAACCGTCAAGATGCGATACATCCACAGTCTCGAGACCTTGGAGATTCCCGAGGGAGGTACGTTTTCGAATCGATTCACCCGCGCTGGCAGCATCGGCCCAGGAATTATGAAATTTTGGGTTGGGTGTTTGCTGCTTGGAGGATCTCGAATTTTGCGATTCAATTAAACGAATATACTAACATGCGACCCGCGAAATAGTCAAGGTCCAAATCAAGTCCCGCAATGTCACAGTCGAGGGCCCCCGAGGTACGATACCATATACAGCCATAACGATGGCGACTATGTACTCTGGAGGCACGAAGGAATCTAACAGAGGGAAATAGGCAAGCTTTCCAAGGACCTGAGCCACATCGCGGTTAACTTCTCGCGACCGAAGAAGAATGTTATTGGCATTGAGATTCACCACGGCTCGCGAAAGGACGTCGCCACGCTCCGAACTGTCCGAACCTTGATCAACAACTTGGTCATCGGTGTCACTAAGGGCTTCAAGTACAAGATGCGTTACGTCTACGCCCATTTCCCCATCAACGTCAACGTCGAGAAGAACAGCGAGACTGGCAACTTCGAGGTCGAGATCCGGTATGTTTTACGCCCACCGAACGCGTAGGGAGAGATTGTGTTTCAACACGCTTTCTCGACGGGGAGTTAAAAAATTATGATAGCTGATTGTGAATGATAGAAACTTCATCGGTGAGAAGCTCGTCCGAAGAGTCGTTATGCAGGCCGGTGTCGACGTCCAGATCTCCACATCCCAGAAGGACGAGCTGCTCCTCCTAGGCAACTCCCTCGAGGATGTTTCCCAGAGCGCCGCCGACATCCAACAGATCTGCCGAGTCCGAAACAAGGATATCCGAAAGGTATGTTTAATTAATATTTACTTCGTAAGTATACGACTTATGCTAACAAACTCGTAGTTCTTGGACGGCATGTACGTTTCTGAGAAGGGCAACATCGCGGAAGAGGCCTAAAGGGGCGGATATGGCGGGACACAAATGGTTTCTTTGCTTTTAGGGTCTCAATACGGAGTCGCCGGGGTTCATCTGCATCTCACGTAGCAAAATAGCTGCGAAAAATGGAACCGAATACTGAGCAACTGTGTTTCCGAACTTTAGACACTTTACGATCACGTGAATTGTGAAGTTATACGTTTATGATATACTCGCTTCAGGGACTAGTGGTTTTCCAGACGAGGAGATGCGGGTTCAAGATAATTCTTATTGAGCTATCCGTGACGACCCATGAGAACTTAGGAGCATCTAGAAATAAAACTACATTCTATGATTTTTATGCACCAATTCTGGTTCCTCGCGAGCAACTTTCATGGTGTAATTTATATTACACCATTTTCATCATCGTATATCACATCGTAGGTAACAGGTAATTTACGTAGAGTGCTACCTAGTAAAATAGCCCCAAAACAAGTGCTACTCTGTAAGTGTTATCGTATCAAAAAGCTCCCTTTTACCTTATATATTCACGTAATTCGGCAAATTCCGTTGCTATATATTTCTGACTGATCAGAGAATAAAGCCGAGAGTCTATTCTATATTAAATAAATTTCCGTATTTGCTGTCCAACTGCCTAATCTTAGATGCGGTTCTCCGTCTGGGCTGAGCAGGGCAAATAGGGGGTTTGTGTTTCTTGTATATATTAGGTATCAAAGCGGAAGCAAACGAAATATATTCAACTAATCCCTTACCGAAGCTTTTCTTTGTCTTGTTTGCATTCACGAGGGGGCGGTGGTGGAAGGGATGGGATGAGATGAGATGGGATGGGTATCCATGTTACACTGTTGGAAGAAGAAGAAAAGTCTTGATAGCTGGTTGTACGGGGAATAAGGTGTCTGTGCAACGTAGCATATGAAGAAACAGTTCGTACGGAACTTAGGAAGATGGTGTGGTATGTAGTACTATGTAGACGGTCGAGATCCCGTGTCACGGCAGAAGATAATATACAACTTATATCTATTTTCAAGTATCATATCAGCCTCAAAATGCTAGGCTTTTTCTTGCCCACATGGCAAGTTACCTAGTACTTACATGCGACGGAGGGTGTAACTGGGTGATATGTATATCTACATCTCATTTAAGGGCAGGGCAAACACTTCTAGATCTGGGTAATGGGCTTGCTTGATAGGTACCACGAAGGGTTTATAAAGTAGGGTTCTTGAGGGAACATTTATTTACCTAAACTACCAGGTAGGTATGGATATATCTCTAACCCTGCTTTTCATCGTAAGGCCCTTCCCATGTTGTAACCCCCCTTTACGAATCTTTTTTATTACTTGCTTGTTTTATCAACTATCTAATCTCAACATCTTAACTACCTACCTAGGTTCGGTAGATACCTATCCTTAATATATCGATACTAAACGATATGCCCTCTGTTCCCAGAACGAACGTCTGGATAGAGTCGCCGCCACACTATCGAACACCTTAAACGGCGCTCCCGAACATTCTTCTTAGGTTAGGTAGTGAGCACCATAGCAACAAGAGTACCCAACATACACTTCCATCCTTACTTCCTACAACCCCACAGTCAAAATGGACCGCGAACAGAGAAAGCAAAGCTTCAATATAAGGGAGCCTGGTACCTGCGACACCGGCTTCGTGTTCTACAGCTGCCAGGACGGATTCGTCGGCTGTTGCGCCGTGGAGGCGTGTAACCCGGGAGGATGTCCCGACGACGCTTTGCCGTCGAATACCGAAGGGGGAGAGGGCGTCTCGAGTACTACCACCACATCGCCACCAGATGGCGGGACTAAGACGCAGACGGTTACTCTGGATATCACAACTACCTCGACCATTACCTCTGACAGCAGCAGCCCGAAGTCGTCAGCACCATCACCAACAGCAACATCGGATTCCGCAACCGGGGGAATCACACCACCGCCCTTACTGCCCCCGTCCTCATCCTCAACCCTCAACGCACAAACATCCCCGACCTCAGCTCTCCCGCAGACAGACACTCCACCACCGTCAACGCCTCCCCTGTCCACGGCCGCGATAGCCGGTATATGCGTAAGCAGCACCGTGTTCGCCCTGACCGCGCTGTTTATCGCCGGGCTGCTCATCCGTCGCCGCCGCATCGCGAAGCGCGTCGCTGCGGAGTCGCTGCCTAACTCACCGTATGTAGACGAGCCGGAGCAGTTTATGATGGATCATCCGGCGTGGAGGGGCCAGGAGCAGGGGGTTTTTAGGGGGGTTAGTGAGTTGCCGTAGGGGAGATGGGATGGGTTGATTTTGAGAAGTTCTGGTGATGCTCTGGCTTTCTTTCTGTGCTGAATATTGTATTATGTTGTATATTGTGCGATGATTGAGAGAGAGCTGGTTGATGAATCGTGTTGAATTATTTGAGGGCTTGAATAGGGGTTTGTTCTAACCTCCTTTTATTTGCTCTTAGTTACGACTATGAGCCTTTTTTCATCAACTTGACTTGCCAACTCTTCATACGAGTGGATTACTTTATAGATTATCAACTATGCTAGATGATAACCTTACTTCTTAATGCTATGTCTGCTGTATCGATCAGATATTACAATCTCTGTTAATAAAAAACCCTACAGATTCAAAAAGTAGAATGTATCACAGTATACCACATATGTTCCCAGAGAATAACAATCATGACAAAACCAACCGAATGCTATTTATTTAGTCCTTGCCTGTATCTTCCGATCTTATTGGGGGGTATGGAACATTGACAGAAATCAAGAAAGCCTGCCAGTCTTTTTTCCTTATCCTACGCCGTTTAGTGCAACACCAGTTCCCCTGGTCTAATTCAAATGAAAACGCCCAACTGACAAGAAATTGATCGGCCTTTGTTCCCCTAGGATCCATTATCGCAGCTTCTCAACCTTGAAATTATGCCTCGCGTAGAGGTTGTTGCGTGTTGGGTAGATCTGTTCGGTTATAAAGAACAGAAGAAAGAGGTACGGCACTTTGCTAGAGCACCGCGGGTTTATGGAGCGGTATCATCGCGGCATCAGCTTGTAGATCTCGTTGAGTAGTTCTTGCAGCTCTTCGTCGGTGATTTTATCGGTGATCGAAGGGATTAGGTATTTGGCCTCCTCAGCCGTCTCGCAGCAAAGCGATCCTAAAGGAATAACCCCCCAGATTAGCTTTTTTGTTATTCACCTACTTTAGTAACTGAACCACAGTTCTACAACCAAACCGTACCTAATTGCGCGCGCTCGAACTTGTGGAACTCCTTATGCGAGCTCAACAAGCGCTCCACGGCCTCGACGTTCTCCTTCTTCTTGAAGCGGGCGAAGGTATCCAGGTAATCGATAGTCTTCGTTAACATCCTGGAAAAAAACACACAATAAACGTTAGTCCTGCCCTTGTCGCCCGGGACCAGCTAAACAATTGCCCAGGGGATTTTAAGGACAGAATCTTCTTACTCTGTCTCGTTAACGTTTTTGCGATCGTTGCGGCGCTTGGCGACTAGGGCGTTGATGACGAGAGAGGCCTCGGATAATGTCAGGGTGTCGACGTCCTGGAACTCGCCCAGCTTGAGGACGGTAGTAGCCTCCTCATTGCCGGCGGGTGGCGCTCTAGACCGCGACGTGGGAGGATGAGACATTGTATTTCTTTGTAGGATGGCTGGCGAGGGTGGAAGGGATAGATGCAAGAAAAGGAAAAGGAAGTAATTAGTAATTATTGGGAGGTTTTTTTCTGCTGGTCGCAAACCAACACGGTCAATTGATGATATGATAGATGATATGGCAGCAATATGGTTATGCGATAGGATATGCGACAAAGAAATAAATAAATGTCAGCTGTCAGATAATGCGGCTCTAGGCTTCGCTGTATGTACAGAGGTAGCCTGTGATGAACAAGGTTAGGTGCTAAGACCGCTAAATTATGGAGAATTTGGGGAAGCTTCTTGTGAAAATCCGGTCTAGCTCCGGCACGCTCAGATAGGTACTTGGGTACTTAGATATCTCAGCTGGAACTTTTAGGAGAAACTTCGGTTATTTTAACATTGTTCGGCGACTAGGAACCCCCCTAGTCAGAGCTGTAGGGAAGTGGCTGTTTGCTATGAGATCTTCTACCGAGTGGCCATGAACAAATACATATTCCTTAATGAGATATGAGCAAAGAAAAGGGCATACTCAAATTATTTAGACCAAACCCAACCCCAAATAAATCAAAACCCTCATTAATTATTTCTGTACAATGTGAGAAGCGAACCCCAATATACCATAAAAATAAAATGTGGAATTACTGCTAACTCATATATATATAGGGGCGTACTAGCTCTCATTGTCATCAACAAGGCCGGTGGTCTCATCTATAACCGTACTTTCGGAGATGGCCTAAACCAGCTGAATACAAATGACTACCTCGTACTTGCTGGTACTTTCCACGGGTGAGACATATCCCTCTGTCTCATTAGCAGCATTCAGCAATGCCTTAGGCAATTGCAATAATCAGATTTACTTACTCACCTCATTACCAGAGTCCACGCCATCACAGCCCGTCTTAATCCGTTGAAAGGGTTAATGAATGCCCAACATCAGCAGCAAGCGGCGTTAACCGCGGGCGGCGTGCCGATACCAAGCCGGCCGGACCCCCCCTCGGGTCTCGAGGTCATGGAGACGGAGAACTTCCGGCTACAGTGTTTCAACACGTTGACAGGCACCAAGTTTCTATTGTTCACGGATATGATGCAGACCAACGTGGATATCACCATACGCAAGATCTACGACTTGTATTCCGACTACGTCATGAAGAACCCTTTCTACCAGCTAGAAATGCCTATCCGCTGCGAGACCTTCGACAGGAAGCTAAACTCGTATATCAGGGAGATTAACAACTCTCGATAATACGGAAGGCTTACTAGTAGTAGTGGGTATTACGGATTTCTCTTACGGACTCACTTTTAGGCAGCGGGGGAGGGATCTGGCAACTTTGACGGGGCGGGATTAGGAAGGCTTAGCTATCTAGAGTTGCATCATGGCATGGCGTTTGGAGTTAACAGACTTGGATTTCATTACGGCCCGGAACTTGATTGATAGAAAATGCCCTCTGCCTTCTTTGCGGCAGGAATGTCATTCCCCACCTAATTCATCGCTATAGGCCTTTGGTCTATTATTATTGTACAAGTCCAACAACTCCGTGATCCCATGCCGGCGAGAATTCGACAGGCGGCAGACAAACAAGTCTTCGTCTATGACGTGTCCATCTTGTCGTCGTCGTCTTTCTTAGAGCTCTTCTTGTCGGCAGATCCGCTTCCGCTAGGCTCACCGTGTTCGTTTAGTAGAGGCTGGTTCTCACCCTCCTCCTCTATCCCCTCTAGACTCGTCTTGTTTGCAGCATCTGCCTCATCCTTGGCCTGTTTGGCTTGTCTCGCATTCTCCTCTTCCATACTCATGCGTAGAGCAAGAGCTAGTTCGGGGTCGGCGCTGGGGTCGAAGTCGAAATCGCCAAAGTCGCCACCACCCTCGGCCATGCCACCTGAACCACCAGCAGCTCCTTCTCCGAGCAGGATGGGGGTAGTTATCAGCTGGTCGCTTAGAAGCTTGCCGCTAGGAGGGATAACGACAAGATGCGAGTTCTCGTTGGTTTTAACCGTATTGTTAAAAGCTTCTAGCTTCTTCTGTACGTCATCATCGTCAAGATCACCAAATAGAACAAAGTCGATATCGATGTTGCCCTTCTTCATCTTCTTAGCAAGAGATACCAGCTTTTTCTCGTCGTCGGCTACGGGCGAGCACACAAAGACGATGATGCGCTGGCGTTGGGATTTGTTTTGTCGGTGCTTCAATGCTAGCTGTCGCGGAAGAAACCAATCATTAGCTTAGATCTCATCATACACATGTGTCCGTTGCAGTTGCAAATAAAGGTTTGACATACACTAGCGATCTGGATTCCGGTTGCAAGGTGGGACGAGCCCGAGATCTTCTTCTTCGTACGGTGAAGACCTTCGAGCAGCTTGCCTCGTTCTGTCGTCAACGTGGACAGAACCTCAGGTCCCTTGCCACCCATGCTCATCAGGCCGACGGAGGATTCAGGGTTAGACTGGGTGATGCTCTCGAACATGATATTTATCGCATCGGCCTGGGCATCGAATCGAGAGGGTTGGTAATCTCCATTGCGGCTGCTTTCGCTGTTATCAACGACTATCATAACAGCTTGCAACGGCATTTTGGTAATGTTGTGGTGGTAAACTAGTCTCGGTATTGTTTTATAAATATAGTAGTCGAGGTCCGGCCTGTCTTATGATATCTAGAGAGTAAAGTCTATGAGGCTGGATGACGGTTGGAAAAGTTGATGAATGTAACTACAGCTAAGGTACCTTCGTAACTGCAGTGCTGAGTGCTGGAATCGGAGGATAAGCTCTTCAGAACAAACGTCAGGCAGGTGTAGCCTAGGTGGGTACAAAGGTACCTACGGAATACAGTGAAATAGACCTAAGCTTAGACCAAGTTGCTTCCAATTTGCTTAGTTACCAGCTTTTTTACTTAATCGACTTCCTATTTTAGATGACATAATCCACTCTAATCCACCCAAGTTTCAGATTATCCAATTACATTACCTGTATCGCTCAAGTGCATGTCCCACATCCCTCTCTTTTGTTTACTTGCACAAACATTGGTTTCATCATCAACACACCCGAATTCTTGCATTTCATACCCCATATTCAAAAAACCCCTACACGAAACAACGCGTCTGTCCAGAATTTCACATTTTACACTTTACCGCATTTTTTACTCACCAAATCCGCATTGAAAATACTCGACACAAATATTCTACAAAATGGCACCGGTCAAAGCGACGCGAAAGAGAAAATCCGAAGCTATAACAGGTTCAATTAAAGGCCAAAAGATACATACGATAAGATGTTCGCCCGAACGAAGTCCAATCAAGAAGCGGAAGTTAGGCCTATCACTTGCGCAAAAGCAAGCTCTCATCGACAACCTCCAACTAGAGAGTACGGACGCGCCGCCGAGCTAAATAATGAAGTTCTTCGATTTTTTAACTAATTTTTATTGCAGTTACCGAACGTGCAAGACGATTAAGAGCTCAATACAATATCCAGGCGCAACAACTACGATCACGCGTTGAGATGCGCGTCAACCGAATACCCACCGCCTTACGAAAACTGAAGATGGGCGAGCTCCTTTCCAAATCACTACAGCCACATCAACCACCTCGCCCACCTAAGTCAACGTATGTAGCCAGACCTCCACCCGTCCCTGCAAAGGATAGCGCGTCAGCCAAACCCCTCCCACGAAAGCCAGTTCCAGCAGTCAATGCAAAAGGCCTAAGGTAGGAACTTAATTTGTTTATTCTCTCTAGCTAACTAACACTATATAGCGAGGAAATACTAGGTCTGGATAAAGAGAATCAAGGCGACGATGTTCAGAATCCTAAGAAGAGGCCTCGCGGTATCCCGGGCAAGGAACCTGCTACAATCCAACCGGGACAGGTCCTATCGCCCACATCTTCAAATACGCGAATAGTACCCCGCGCTCGCCCGGCAGCATCTCCCATAAAGACGCTAGTTAGCAGGCCCGCTTCACCTATGAAAGGACCCCCGCCTAAGCCTTCTTCCAATATCATATCGAGTATGGCAGACAGAGTGAAGGCATCACGGCCTGCGATTACGAGGAAACCTACCAATTCATCTATGACCAGCTCGGCTAACGGCAACTCATCTGTACGTGCGCGACAACCCGCAGTCCCATCACGTCCCCCGACTGCAGCGTCTACGCGAGGGAGACGGAAGGCTAGTACTACAAGCGAGTCAAGCAATGGCAGCTCGACTACGGTACACAAGAAGACAACCGCTTCGAGGGTGGTCAAGACGACAGCTCCCGCGGCCAAGAAAACAGTCATGAGCACAATAAAATCAGCCACAACCAAAAAGCCCCCGGCAACAAAAGCCGCTGCCTCTGGAACGGGGACAGGGAGGACGTTAAGGAAGAGAGCAGCTTAGATATTAAATGACTATAATGTGTTAATTGCATCTCGCTTGGCGTTATGGTTCTGTTTTCTGTCGCTGCACAGGAGGGGGGTATGGATTAAGTCAGGTCACAATGAGAACCTTGCTGGCGTTTTTATCTAAAATATTTCCTCCTCTTCCTCCCAATATCTTGTCCCCTTTGATTTCTTCTTACGCTCCCACTTCGTAAGCTTGGACAAGACGAACATGTGCTTCTAGCCGGCGGTAGCGGCAGTTGAGCCCTTCTTTTTCTTGTCATCGACGAGCTCGATGTTGTCCTCAGGGATGGTATCCTTGTATTTTTCTAGCAGGAATTCCTCGATCTCGTCCGACACGTCGCCCTGCACGACAATCTCCTCTCCACCGCTAGGTACCTTTGTCACAGAGGAGCCCGTGGCGAATTTCTTGCCGAATTCCTTGGCGACTTTCTTCAGGTCCAGTCCGAAAGCTTCGAGTCCAGACACGGCGGTTACGAATTTGCGCTTGTTGCGTTCGACCCGCTTAATTGTTATCACGCTGTTGGCGATCTTGTCTGCTTGCTTCTGCTCCGCCTTCTCGGCCTGTGCGGCTTTCTTCTGCGCGTCCTTGGCGGCGCGCTTCTGCGCCTCGACGGAGAGCGATGCCGTGGCGGCTTCTAGGGCTTCTGCAGGATGGGGGAAGAGTTGGCGTCAGTGGGATTGTCTAGCCTAGGAGAATGGGTACGTATCTATAGGAATAGGGTAGGGATGTTTCGGGGATCCTGCGTACCTGGAGACCATATACGTTCATATAGGCTCTTGTGGGCTTTCTGCAGCCAGTCCTGGCATTTCTTGACGGTGCCGCCATATTCGCAGTACTACTTATTCGACGATCAGTACATTTTCCACTTCTCTATGACGTCTATTTTGTCGAATTCCATTCGCGGAGCTGGTCTATGAATAGGGAATATCGTACCTCTGGCGGTAAAGTGCAGACTAGAATAGCAGCAGGACAGGGTCAGTTTACAGCTGTTCTGGGGGACCCAGCGAGTGGGTGGGTATTGTTGTTTTGGTTTGTTTGACTTACCGCCGCAGTATATCACGTGGCGGCCCTGAGGCTCACTGGGGCCTTCTGTCTGTTCTGTATCTGCCATTCCTGAACTAGGATTTTGTATATAGGGTGGCGATTAGGGAGGGGAAGGGGCGGTTGAAAAGGAGAGACGAAAGATGTTTCGTCGCGACCTGTGTGCTAAGAGATTCTGTTTTGTTGTTTGGCTAAACAAGGGGATCGGATTTCTGGTTGTTGATTCTGGAGCGCGGGGTTCGTTCGACAGGTCGCTAACCTTAGGGAGGTACCTAGGTAATGGTAGGCCAGGTCTTAGGTACATATGGTGGTGGGTTGGTGGGGTAGTTTTGCGTTTATGCGTTTCGGTTTTTTTTACATATTTAAATAAAAGCGCCGCGAGCATGGCGCGAAACAGCTGATTGATCTGACTGGTTTTCCTGAGTTTAACTTTTAACTTTAACCTATATAGGTGTTAGTGCAGAGGGCAGATCTACGATTGGTAACTGCGTCCAATGGAAATTTGGAGGAGAGTTTTATTGCAAGCCACAGTTTTACGTAGTATTGTCAAGTGGACGCCACAGTTGAATTTACTTGGTTAAGTAATGGTGTGCCACTCATCACTCATCACTCTATCACCTGCAAAGTTCAATCAAGCATAGTATCATCAAGACATAGTACCATCAAGCCTTGTTGCGTTGCTTCCTTTGTATCATGAGCCGATGTGGCGTCTTCTTGATGCGTTAGACTCTGACTTATAACTAGTCGCACTTAAGTCCGGGATGAATATCTACGAAGGTCCGGATCGAAAGTCCTAGCATTTTATTTCCTGAATTCCTATTCATCAGCCTAACCGACTCTTTTTACTGGCGCAAATATTATAATTGATATTCATGATATCGCAGTCGTCTGGCTCATCACTTTTGAAGTAATACAAACGGCTATTAAGCTTATAAAATATTAGTATTGGTCAAAAGGACTGTGCTAGCTACTCAATTCCACGGTAGGTCTGCGGTATATAACAAACCAACTACTTATTCGTCCTATAGTATACATCTTTAGAGCATGTCCGAGCCTAAATGAGAGACAGCATTATTGCTTTTATGGCATGTTAAGATGGAAGATCCGGAGACCAGTCGATTATATCTCTTAATACTAAGCAACCGGCTCGCCACGGATAACTCCTACCGCCGTTTAACAGGATAACTAGATGGGTAAAACAACTCCGTCTAGTAGTATAGATGACGTTCTTTTACTTCCGCTTATTATATTTATTGGGTTCTGGAAGTTTGGTTTTTCTGCACGATCAATCTCACCAAGAACATGGCTCAACCAATCACGGAACCTCACGAAACCTCACAAATGGCGCTGGGCGGTTAAGCGCTCAGTCAGCGTAACCTTTACCCCATTGGTCTAGAAGCCCGCAATGGCTTGCCAATCAACGATTTTCTCCGTCCTACACTCCCGCGCGCCAGTCGGACTATTGGCTTATGTTGCTAGGAGTTCTAAAATTATATCACCGCCAACCGTTTGTCTATCAGTCCCCGATTGGTTGTTGATGTGGACAATTCGAACGATACAACCTCTAGACTGACGTCGCCCAACGAAACCATGAGTCTTCTTTCGGCACAGCTACCACACATTCATACCTAAACAAGCCCCAAATGGGGTCTAGGACGTGTGTGTCTGGCCGAATCTGCACTAAGACTCCAAGGCTATGCAGGTGATGGGCAGTTACCCGTCCATCAGCATAGCAAACCACTGGGCTGGAAGCGCTCACTTTCTTCATGCTGTTTCTCTCCACACGATAGCCGCTTGCCCACCTCCGAGATCATAGTCATAAAACTACTCTCGCCCAAACATTTGGTAGGCCTTGTTTCTCTTATTCTCTTCTTCTCAAGCTTCCTTGAGGTTGCCTCATTTCATATCGCTTCGTTGATCGAAGTGTCTCTGTCGTTAAAGCATATTTCTTTAATTACACTTCGCTTTCAACGACGCCGGCCGTTATTTTCAATATATCTTACGGTTATTGCATTTAACCCAATATAGTTTCATCTATTTTTCTTTTCTTTTAAGAATCTTACTAGTATTATTTTTAAACACAAGATGTCTGAGCTAGTGCTTTTACCGTCTAGCACATACCAGCAACCCCCCTCCCCTTCGCTGGCACGAAGACCAGGGAGGTCACTTAATACAATAATGGAGGAGGATTCGGAAGGGTCACAGAAGAGAACGTCGAGGGGTCGGGGTAAAAACCAAGCCAGTTCGTCCAACGAAAAGATAGTTCAATGGCTATCACCGCGAAGTGACCATTTTCCGACTCCGCGAGGCTTTCACTTCTTGTCGGCCCCGATACTGCCTGAATCTCCATCGGCTACATCCGCTGAGGAGAGCAATTCTCCGTCAATATCTTCCTCGGATCCCTGGAACCGAGCTAGCATAAGTACTGATGTTACAGAGTTTGACGATATCTACGAAGTCTCTGACGAAGAAGATACTCGACGAGCTTCGAGAATGTCATCGGTGAAGCGCCGGAACAGCTCTCGTAACACAATGCTAAAGCGATCTTCGGTCCCCTCGTTAACCTCGCACCGGGCTCTTCCGCCCTTGGTGATCCCGGCGCAGCAGGACGAAGAAGTCAAGAACTTATCAGGTAAGCTGGAGTTCAAGAGGTTCCTGTCACCAATACCTCCGACGCCACCACCCAAGGTCGAGATGTCACCGGCCGTGATGTCCTACTTGCAAGCTCAGCAATCTCAGGAGGTGCCAACTATCTCCGCACCACCGTCTCTCGATGGGAGTCTCAGTTCAGACCAATTGGCTGCCCTCTCCGCTCCGCCTACGCCAGTAATTGGAGAAGATGACACCAATAGCGCAGATTGGTCTGGTGTTCAATTACAACCCGCTGCCTTGGCTACCCTGCAAGCGCTATCTGGGAGCGAAGATGGCGAGGGTGAGTACCGTTCAGAGCAGGTCATCGAGGTAACTGAGAGGAGGCCAGAAATGTCACAGCAGACGCCGCGCCTACTTACTGCTATGTCTCGGCCAGCTCTACACCTCTCAACTCGACAACAGCAATCTCTCAATGGGTTGACGAGGCTTGACATTCCCTCGCCAGGAGGCTTTTTCTCTGGCCTTTCTCCTCACACAAGGCATACTTGGCATTTGCCCTCCATGACACCTGATGACATTGCTCCTCCCACCTCGACTACTGCGGAGCAGTTCTACAGAGTGCCATGGAATGAGCCTGCTCCTCGTGTTCCAACTTTGCCTACTGCTACTGTTCTACCTCCCCCGCCTCCACGCCCCGAGAGGTTTGCAGTTGCATCCCTTCCATCAGTGCCGGTAGAACAGATTGTAGAAATTAGGGGTACCATGTCAGATGGTATTCCAACTGCAAGACCCGTCATCTTGGAACACGTTGTCGAGGCAAGGACTGATCTTGCCGAAGATGTCCTTACAGCGCGACGCGTTGAGCAAAGAGACCCTTTATCTCCTCTTGCTGCTCATATCGAGCCCTCCAGTCCCAATGAGGATGTCACCGCTACGGAGATCGTTGCAACCTACGATCCCGCATATGCTAAGAAACAGCAAGAAGCTGCTCTTTCCAACCTGGACCGGACCGAATTATGGCTTATGGCCCAGAAGGCTTACCTCAAGGGTATCCTCCCGGAGGAAGAATTCAAGCCGGAGGCTGAGGCAGTAGCGGAAGCGGAACCTGCCCATGTTGAGGAGTCCAAGAAGGAATCCGAATCCGAAGGGGCATCCCCGTCACAGAAGAAAAAGACCGTCCGCTTCTCCGAGATTGTTGTCAAGACTAACATTCCAAAACCCCTACCACCTAAGATCTCTCGCAAGGAATCAGCCTACTATCGGGCTTTCCAGGATTACATTATCCGCTCCCGCAGTCAGGATCCTTTTGTTCACCGTCTCCCACGCTTTGAGGCTCTCCAAGCTCAGCGCATCTCCCTACGTGAGGTTCACCGCAACCAGCTCCTCGGCAAGTATCAATTATCCGTAGTGCCACACTCAGCCAAGAAGCGCATGAGCGCCAACGTAGCCCGCGGCGATGATATTATCGTCGACGACCCCGAAAAGCTTAAGAAGGACAAGGAGCACGAGGCCTGGGCCCAGATGTCCATGGCAAACTGGCACGTCGGCGCCACCAAGGCTTTGAATGGAGGCCGCCTATTTTCCGCGCCTATCGCTAAGCGCCTGGCTCGTCTCTCTCGCATCGGTGGCGCTGGGGACCGTGCTCGCATTCTCGACCTTGGTGGCCAGGCTACTTGCGACTGGGCCTGGCACTGCGCTATCATGTACCCAAACACCAAGGTGTACACGGTAACGACTAAGGCCATCCGCCAACTGTCCAACTCCAACATCCGCGGACCGCCGAACCACCGCCAGGTCGCTGTCTCGCGGCTCGCCAAGTTACCGTTCCCCGACGCACACTTCGACCTCGTGTCGGCGCGTGAGCTACACTCCATCCTCAAGTTCATCGGTGAGAACGGCGAGGACGAGTGGGACAGCTGTCTGGCTGAGTGCATGCGCGTTCTCAAGCCCGGTGGGTACCTTGAGTTCTCCATTCTAGATTCGGACATTACGAACGCGGGCCCTCTAGGACTCGCTAAGAGCGTCGAGTTCGGCTTCGCTCTCAAGACCCTCGGCTACGACCCTAGCCCCACGCGCATGTTCCTCGGCCGCCTACACCGTGCCGGCTTCGACCAGGTGCGTCGCGCGTGGGTGTGTCTGCCGATGGGCGCGGATCCGGCCGTCCGACGTAACAGGAAGGTCACACGTGATAGCAACGGTGTCGAACGCCCCCTCGAGCTCGAGGCCATGGTCTCGGGCAGCACGGAGGCGGCGGCCCCCACCGCGGGACTGGCGGGTAGTTGGGCGTGGGAGCGCTGGCTGCTGCGCTGCGAGATGGAGAAGGTGGCGTCCGAAGGCCGCCTAGGCTTCCTCGAGACGGAAGCACCGGAAATGCGCGAGGCGGGGAAGTGCCTCGATGGTGTGTATGAGGTTGTCGAGGAGGGGCGTACGTGTGGTGCGGGCTTTAGGATGTTGAACGGGTATGCTAGAAAGCCAGTT